CTCAAATAAACAGGGTAGTGTTAACCTTATTCAGCACTGAAATCTGTCAAACTTCTTTCAAAGTCCTTCATCACATATTGATATTAAAATAACTTAATTTCAGAGAACCACAAAGTCAGACCTTAGCCCCTTTATATACCTTTAATGTAAGATCGTTCTTAGGTCACATACCTATTTAAAATCATAACATAAAAACTGCAATGGTACTGTTTTAAAAACATGTGTAGAAGGCCTAAGTGTACAGTAAGTGTGTCTGTAAATATGCTTTAATGAAGTAGACTTTAAAAGCTTTTGAATTTGAGCTTACAGTTCTTTCATCAACCTGTCTTTTACATAAACTTACAAAAAAGATACTTTAACTTAGTCCTCAGATAGAGGAGGGTTGCTGCTAGCTCCGTTAAGGTATTTCTGTCCCTCCCAAACTGCATTGAAATGGTATGTTTAGGAGCCAGAATTTAAAAAAATTTCAGGGGGAGAAACCCCCTGACCCCCCCTAACATGATCAACTCATCAGGAAACAATTGCAACGTCTTAGATTGTGCCCCCCCAGAATTTTGGCTTGCATGACGCCCCTGAAAGTATGCATGTACGAGACTTAACAGGAAAAAGATTACAGTAAACAATATCTAAACAAGTGCGATGTCAATATTTGCATCTAATAACTGAATGAAACTTACTTTCACTTATGTTACGCACACGCACTCAGGACGGAATGACATCACCAGAGTTTCAAAATAAAAGACTTTCTGATAGCATTCATCAAAAATTTTACGGTTTTAATTTTAAAATGACTTGGTAGCAGAGGGCCCCATGATGAAGCTCCGCCCCCACTGTACTGAGAGTCTAGCTCCGCCCCTGAGCTCAAGGGTTTATTTCTTGCAAGTGTAGAAATAAGGACAAAAAAGTATTTTAATTTTCCAACATTATAGTGTAATGTTGGCTGAAATATACTTTTGAAATATTCATTTTCATTTATATAGTAGTTTTAGGCTACATTTATAGGCTATATGGATTTTACGTCATAGGAATAATTACATAAATCATTATTACATTATTATAATAATTGTTTGGCATCCTAAAACACCATTAAAAATGTAATGTAGACTGAGACTCTCTTAAAAAGATGTTTGAGCCCTCTATATTGTCCTGGTACAAATCAATGCTTTATCTTTGTTTAACGAGCAGTTAATGAGTTGAAGCTCTTAATTTTGATCTCTCAAAGAGCACGAGATTGATGCATTTAACCTTAAAATGTACAAAAAAATTCTTGCAGGGGAGCATGCCCCCGAACCCCCCTGGAGGCACAGAAGTCCATCCAACATATTCCTATGGGAAAGAACAACCATATGAACTTTACTCCAGCCTAATACAACAAAGTATATTTTAAGTCAGATAAACTATAAATGCCATATTAAAATGTCCTTGGACAAAATATATACATTTTGCCTGCCTAGAGGGGGCCTACAAGACATTGTGCCCAGGGGCCTCTGAACTCTTAATCCGGCCCTGGTTGAAGCACAAACACCTCAGCGTAATTAAACAGGCCACGGTAAACAAGCGAACACAATCCAAAACAACGCATACAATCGGATATGTCTCACAACTCCGATTCACAAAAGCCCAGCAGTCTAATAACGATCAATCAAACACACCAACAGCGATGCATCAATCGTACACAAACCGCCAGACCATTTCAAATCATCCGCGAACACAAGCAAAGACGTAAAAACCCATTGTCCTACCTGTTCAACCGCAGCATACGTATCCAGACATCTGTCCTGTTGCTGTTGAACGTCCAATTGTGCGAAGATTGTTGTTAGCAGCAAACATATCCACAGAGGCCGGTCCTATTGTGTTGAAAGTCCGATGTGCAATAATCCTTTTCATTAAAACAAGCGAAAGCAGGGCGAATCTCCGTCAGTCCGCGCTGCGCTTAATCCTTTCCGTCCAGTAAAAGTGTGAGGGCCTCTTCGTTCGTCCAAAATCGACGCGTTCACGTTCTCAAACAAACAATTTTGTTGACTAACTTGTAGCGGCTCGAATACAGACGAACCAAAGGCCGCTAAGGAACTGAGTGGCTGGAATAACTTCTGTGACGCGTTTCTTTGTACAGCTTGCATGGTGTTTTATTTTTACAGGCTTGCGCGCTTTACACGGTCAACAAAATTTGTACATACAGGTGTTTTAACCACACGTAATAAACGACACGCCCATTATCATTTGGTCACATGACTTTCCCATTAAATGGCTCCTACAAACCTTATAAACTTTTTAATAAATACCTCCAATAATATCACCTTTAAATCATTAATGTATTATTTTATTTCAGAAACCCATGAAACTCCACATGAACAATGAAAATATTCATATGATACATTTATTTAAAATTAGGGAACACGTCAGGACTGTTTCAAGTCAAGTCAAGTCACATTTATTTATGTAGCGCTTTTCACAATACAGATTGCATCAAAGCAGCTTCACAGTGATAACATTAAAGTAATACAACACAGATCAATAATATTGTTGAATATTAAATGTCCCCAACTAAGCAAGCCAAAAGCAAGGCAACAGTTGGCAAGGAACCAAAACTCCATCAGGTGATTGGATGGAGAAAAAAACCTTGGGAGAACCCAGGCTCAGTCGGGGGGCAGTTCTCCTCTGGCTAACATACATATTGTTTCAAAGCAGCTTTACAGTAAGTGTATTTCAGAAAGTACATGGAAAAAATACATTTAGTTAATCATGTAATATTAAGGGCACAGTATATCACCGGCATTGAGTTGTCTCTTCACAGGCGTTGGTCTTCTCATCACAGGCGTGAAGTCTCCGTGAGAGGCTGAATACAAAACTGGAGCTGACGAACGCCATATTTCTCGGGACAGCTTGTCCCGAGAAAGGCAGATGGGAAATAAGCATAGCTGATGTTCATAATGATTTCCATTACACAGGAGTAGGTGTTAGAAAAAAAAACACAATCTCACAAACTCTCCGCAATCCAAACTCTCCGCAACCCAACCATACGAGCCCCACTGTCGCGGAAATGCGTTTCAGTGGCAACGGTTCCGTATGGCATATCACTTACAGCAAAACACAATATCTGCCCAACCACCCGTCATTCACGCAATACACACAGGAACGTAATGAATGTAAATACTATGCAACCAATACAAATAACCTACAGACTCTTCAAGTTTTATAGAATTAAGTGTATTCGATCTGATTTAACAGAGGAATAAAATGTATGCGTGTTTAGTCTAGTTTTGAACTGTCAGCGAGTCAGCGCCTCAAACCATATCGGGAAGGCTATTCCAGAGTTTTGGAGCTAAATGCGAGAACGCCCTCCCTCCTTTACTGGACTTAGATATCCTAGGAATGAGTTTGAATTTAGTGATCTTAAAGAACGCAATGGATTGTAGGGCGATAGAAGGTCCATTAAATACACAGGAGCTAAACCATTTAGGGCTTTATAGGTCAGTAGTATACACTGTCAGAAAAAAAGGTATGAAAGCTGTCACTGGGGCGGTACCTTTTCAAAAAGGTACACTTTTGTACCTAAAGGGTGCATATTGTTACCATAATTGTACTTTGTAGTTTGTAGATACGGAAATTAATAGGTAACCAGTGTAGAGATGATAAAATCGGTGTTATATGATCATATTTTCTTGACCTAGTAAGAACTCTAGCAGCTGCATTTTGTACTAACTGTAGCTTGTTTATTGAGGATGCAGGACAACCAGCTAATAAAGCATTACAGTAATCTAGCCTTGAATATTGGATTTCATTAGAAATCCAATATTATAAGCTGCTATAACACAGTTTCAACTGTGACATTTTTACATTCGGGTTTGCAATCTCTTAAATCGTTGAATATGCTTAGACAGTGAGTATTTATTTCTGTTTTATTATTTATTTCAGAAACTACCTCAAGTACGCTCTTATGTGTATCTGATCCCTCTTGTGCAATAAACAGTTCAACTCTATCTGATGACTCCGACTCCCTGACCAGAGTTCTGCAGCAATCAATAATATAATCCACCAGTTTTCAGTGGGACAATCCACAACAGTATTCTTTTACAGTCCACCATTGGCATATTCATTCACAATAGCCAAATCATAATCTTCATCATTATCATTGGCAGCACATTATAAGTTCATAAGCTGTTCATAAGTTTTTGTTTAACTTTCTCTTTAGTCCCGACCCAGAATTTCTTTTATGAAACAGAATGTCTTTTTGCTTCAGTGACTTAATATCAACAAAATATCCGACATTATATATTACTGATTTCCAGAATCTTTGGACATAGATGTCTTTACATCTTAATACTTTGGTATTATCATCAACAACACTAATTACAGAACAAATCTAAAGTCGGGCTGAAAAAGCAAGCACTGTTGCTGTACTCCCTGCATAGCGGTACCCTCAGTCACTCCTCAGATATTAAATACAGACATCGTCTGCAATCATAAATACCGAGATATGCTTTATAAAACTATAAATTCGAGTGTATGAGTGGTTTCCACCGGGAACACACTGACACAGCACTGGTGAACTTGCACAGTCAGTGGCTGACTAAATACTTTTTGGCCCCAGTGTATATATAAAGTTGATATCCAAGAGGAGTTCGACATATATGTAATAAAACATGGAGAGACTCTTAAACCTCAGAGTGAGAAACTTTATTGATATAGACAAGAAAATACATGTGACAGATATACAGCAGTAGTAAAGTGAGATCTGTGTGACTCTTTATTTACTTTTTTATAAATCAGAGATAAATTAACAAAGCTTTACAAATGAGTTTATAAAAATCTGACACTGAAAGAGAGAACAGAAGCTCAATCAATAGTATATACCATGACAAAAATGCTAGAAAAACAAAAACACACTTGAAGAATCTTTAAAGTTCAGCATTCTGCTTTACATTTCAACACTTCCTGAAAAAATACAAAACTGTAAATTAATAAATGTCACAAAAATTAATATATGCAAATTGAGTTTGTGAGAAATGACATCATCAATCATGCACCTGATGTGTGAATATGTGCTTGATCTCGTTCAGCTCTTCTGGATCTGATGTCATAAACCAGAATGATGACAATAGCCACGCCCACCAGAGCAGAGAGGACCAATCGGATCACAGCTTCAGTAGGACCGCAACATTGGACAGAGTCTGAGGAATAAACACATCAAACTGACATCAGATCAGTCAATAAACACTAATATCAGCGCTGACATCAACTAATATCAGCGCTGTCGTACCTTCACATGTGTGTCTGCAGAGTGTGTTGATGTCCAGATGTGTGGTCTGGTTGCTGATGGGATTGTTCAGCACACAGCTGTAGGTGTTTTTATCCTGATATTCCACCTCCAGAGGTAGAGAGAGACTGATGCTGAGATCAGACGCACTGATGCTGGACAATACACTCATTCCTGCGTACCAGGACAGAGTCACATGACTCACATTCACCACTGAACACACCAATGAACAATTTGATGATGACGAAGAACAGTCTCTACTGATGACAGGAACAGGCAGACGAGCTGAAAAACAGGAGAGAATAAAGATATACATGAATGAAGATATTCAAGCAGACGAGGAAGAAACATCGAGAGGAACCGAGATTATTAAAGATAGAGCGTTTAAAAACAATCTGAGATAAATTTAAACATATGGATGTTATTAATGTAAAAAATAGGGCTAATTAGTCATTTTAAGAATAAAACCACATCTAAATGATAGGACTTTAAAACAACTGCTGTAATAAATAAATTAATCAGGTGAAACTGATATTTGACTCACCATAGATATTGAGATTGAAGATGATCGATGTTCTGAGGATCTGTAGTTGATAATCTCCATCATCTTCAGTTGTGGTGTTTGTGATGGTCAGAGATCCAGTTTGATTGTCCAGCTTCAGTCTGTCTCTGAATCTCCCATCAAGAACATCATCATATACAGTGAATCTGTCGGCCGTTACATTGATTTCAGCTATTACATTGTTTCCAAACCACCACTGAATCAAATCATCACTTATTTTAATAAGACCAGGATTTAGAGTGACTGAATCTCCCTCCATCACTGACACGTACGTCTCCTTTGGGTTAAACACAACTGGAGAACAAACAGAAACAGGTTTTGTCATGGATTATTTCTTTCAAAAACGTCATGAAGGTTAACTAAAAGTAAATAATTTGAAATTTACATCTAAAATAATTAAAACTACAGAAGCCAAACTTTGTGTGGAGTAATAATTAAATTTCTTGAGGTGATTAAATTAACAACAATAAACATGTGAAACCATTTAACCCACCAATGACGTCGAGAAATAAAAATTCCTTCAAATGGTTGATCTGTACTTCAAATTCTCCAGTATCTTCAGTTGTGGTGTTTGTGATGGTCAGAGATCCAGTTTGATTGTCCAGCTTCAGTCTGTCTCTGAATCTCCCATCAAGAACATCATCATATACAGTGAATCTGTCGGCCCGTTTATTGATTTCTGCTATTAAAGTGTTTCCATCTCCAAACATCCACTGAATCACATCATCATCCGTTATTTCAGTGAGACCAGAGTTCAGAGAGACTGAATCTCCCTCCATCACTGATACCAATTTCATTCCTGTATCACCAAGAACAGAGAACAAACATAAACAGGGTTTGTCACTGATAAAGACTACTTAACAATCGCACTTTATGATGGTTAATGAAATTTTAATTTGAAGTTACTAAAATCATTAAACCACAGAACAAGCACAAAAGCAGCAAAATGAAGCTTGAATTAATAATTCAATCTTGTGGTAATTGAAATATAAAACAGGTCAATCAAAATATTTCACTCACCGAACACAGTAACTCTGAAAATCTTGATCTCACGGTTGATCAGTAGTTTATAATCTCCTTCATGATCAGTTGTGATGTGTGTGATGGTCAGAGATCCAGTTTGTTTGTTCAGCTTCAGTCTGTCTCTGAATCTCCCATCAAGAACATCATCATATACAGTGAATCTGTCGGCCCGTTTATTGATTTCTGCTATTAAAGTGTCTCCAAACCTCCACTGAATCACATCATCATCCTTTATTTCAGTGAGACGAGTGTTTAGAGAGACTGAATCTCCCTTCCACGCTATTTTATAAATTTCATCATCACCAGACACTCCTGAAGAACAGGGTTTTTCACAGATTAAAGCTTTAAAATCACTTCAGGTTGGTCGATGAAGCTTCACTAAAATACTTTTAATCATTAAAATGTGAAGTGAATAACATTCTTAAACAGTACAACGACAAACAATGATAAATGAAAGAGAAAAAAAACAACAGATACTTTTCCTACAATTATATTTAATGCTGTTTGGTATTTGAGCTTCATATTTATTATGTTTTATTAAATCCACCCCTAATAACTGATTTTAGACCAATCATGATTTCACAGTTTAGTCATTTCTACGAGAATCACAGTGAATGATAATCTTCTCCAACTAATTTATCACATCAGAACAGAAACAACTGAAGTCATGAAAACACATTTACACTCACCATCCAGACGCCACAAACACAAACAGAGCAAAACTAATTTGAGGAACATCTTCTTCATCGGCTCACTGAAAAGCCCACGATAGTAACTCTTAATGTCTGAAACACTCAGATTGATCTGGAAGACTGAACTGAGATATTTATCTGGTTGTGACCTCAGTCACAGTTTCCGCTCACACGTACGTCTCTTTTAACATCGAGCTTTTGCTGATCTTACATTTTCAAATGAGTTCTGGCCCTGCATGAAAACTAATAGCAGAAGATTGAAATGCTGTATGTATATTATATTGTCATGGCTGCACTGGTTTCTGCACTCATTCTCAGTGCAAGCATTATTTGCATGACTTGGCGATCTGAGAATATTTCTGAGAATTTTCGATGTCTTATCTGAGTGTCTTTCTGTTGAATAAACTGCATCCAGACCTACATTGTCTCTCTTTTGTTACAGAAGGCCAGGCAAGTAACATATGGAACTCTATGGGGGGTTTTGCTTAAAGTATGGACCACAGATTGGCTGACATGGACTTATGGGAAGATATTCTGTTCCCCATCAATCATGGCCACATTATTGAGATGTATGTGGTGCAAGTTGTCCAGTACTGCCATTTAGTACCCAGGGATGACCAATCTCTCATGGATTTATTAGGGCCCAAGCCCTGAAAGGGCGAAGGCCCTATTGTTTTCCTTAGGATAATTAAAAAAAAAAATGTTCTATCAACTACTCGGGCACTTTTGGGGCCCTTAACATGCTCGAAAACTCTTGAATCTTTGCACGGCCAGGGCCGGGCTGAAGCTGGTACCCAGGCGTGGCAAAGGGGCTTGACAGCGCCACCTGCAATGGGCTCCAAAAACTTGGTCCATAAATCAAACACGCTTGCATGTAATAATATGAAACTCTGTACACATGTAGATCTCATCGGTTCATATATACTTCACACTCTTACTTTTAACCCCAGCCCAACAGGAAGTCGGCTATTTAGGGTTGTTTGGAAAACGCATGCAATGGAATTTGAGATACTCCTCCTAGAGAATTCAAACACACGCCACGAAACTCGGTCAGCATGAAGTCAAGACATTGAAGATGAAAGTTTGTAGGGGATTTTTTAAATCTCAAACGGTTTGGCCGTGGCGAGGAAACGAATTTATGGCAGAAAGAGAGAAACAGGAAGTGTGTTATAACTTCTTTATACATTAACTGATCTTGGTGAAACTTCAAATATTTTGCCAGTTCATACGAATTTTATGAGGTGGCTAATTCGTAACAATTCGTGCAACCTCACTCGTACGATTTTTGCTAAATTTTTGCCAATTCATATGAATTCTTACGAATGACCTACACCCTGAACCCCTAAACCTACCCATCATGTGGGTTTAGAGTTAGACAAATCGTACGAAATCGTACGAGTGAGGTTGTATGTATTAGTCCGAATTAGCCACTTTTAAATCATTATGGATTGGTCGTGAGATAGCGTTGAATGTTCCCATCATATGGATGTCACACTTCAGAATCTCGCCTATGAGTATTTTGAATTCAGACATACTACTTTTGTCACATTCTGTTTTTCACATACTATATAGTTAGCCTGGGTTTCCCCGTGCAGCTTTGCCGAAGGGTGATTTTATTCACGCTGCTACACTGTAAAAAAAAAAATTCCGTATTTTTAACGGAATAATGCTGGTAACTTTGGTTGGCAGAACAATTCTGTAAAAAATACATTAAAACCGTTATAACCTTACAGTAATAAACCGCTACAGTAATAAACCGCATTTCATTTACTGAAACCTGTTGAAATGCCAACCTTTGAAAAATCTAATTTCTGTTTTGTATACACTGATAATCATCAATCATCACAGTAGTGTTGAGAGTTACATGAGCAATCAAAGCTCATCACAAGTTGTCTTCTGTTAGAAAGTTAATACTTATACAAAGAAGATGCACAGTGTCATTCACACGAACATTAAACACCGTCATGGTAACACACGTGAAATTTAAAAATGCAATAAACATTTATTTAACAACAATAAATGTAACATAAAACCCTAATGTACATAACTGATTAGAAAAAAAACAAGAAAATTACGAGAAAACAAAGTTATTTCAACGAAAATACATCAAATGAGAAGTGTGACGCAGGGAATTGTGGGAATGTCAATTTACGTTTTTTCACTGTAAATTATACAAGGAGTTGTTATTTTTCACTTTCAAAAACTGTAAATTTAACGGTATTTTACAGTAAAAAATATATCATAGTTATTTACCGTATATAGTACGGAAACTTTCTGTTAACCAATTAACAGTTTTGCACTATAGCCTTTTACCATTAAAATTACGCTCTGGGCGTTCGTAAACCACGCCTCAAATATGAGAAAATGAACATGTGCTTTCCAGACCTCGTCTCATTCTCAATGATACGCGATCTGGCATTAACCAGCATATAGTAGGGAAATATGCAATTTCGGATGCAAGACGGTGACTTAATGAGTGACTCACTGAATCATTCATTCAAACTGATTCATTTAAAACGTTCAGGCACAAAGAAAGTGACTTATTTAAAGATGCTCTGAGCGATACCGGGTGACGTGACTTCTTGTTGACGTTTAGTATTTTCAAACAAAACGGAGGCTAGATAGACCCTCCCTCCTCCTCTGCATTGACCCCCCCAAACCCCACCCCCACGACCTTCTTTTTTTTTCGTTTTTGTTGCCATTTGTGGAGCCTGGGTTGTCTGCATAGATCGCGTTTTTTTACAGTGTGTTTAGGGGACAGGCAGCTAGGGGTGAGGACATGTTTGCTGTATGTGACAAAAATATTTGGGCCTAAAAAACGTGCGACATCGCTTTGAGCACCTTCAATAATGGGTCTTTGAATCATTGACTTGAGTGACTGCTCTTTTGTGAATTTGTTTGGAATTATTTTCGTTGTGAAATAGAGCAAAAACAGACAATATAGTGTCTAAAATGTAACTCAAGAGTTAACTTTTTTGTTGAACTGTTGCATAAAATCAGTATCAGATTTGCAATCGTGCTTATGTTCAGGAAAAAAGCACTTTTTCTCGTGTGATATTGCTTAACATGGTCACATGACACAAGCATAAAAAGACATGAAAGGTCTTTCAGATTTTATCCTCATATCTTGAAGTTTGGGGGAATTCACACTGCATTATAATAGGCTACATCACGCAGTGAAAGCGTGCGCTCTTAAAGTGTACGTGCAGGAGTTTATCGTATTGAAGGAAAAAAAGCGATTTACCACAAACATCCAGCAGATTTTTTTTATATATATAAATATAACAAAATTCATCAGAGAATGTTAATGAGCAAAGCCAGTAACCTGTAAATGTAATTGTTAATTTAGAAAAATTTGCATTTGTTTACCAGAGAGTTTTGGGGTTTGGAAAAATACTTGAGATAAGTGAGTTGTTTAGCCCGACCTCTGATGTCACGAGCCGCCTCTGATATGACCCGGCCGTCTCTCTCACAGGTTGAGGTTTCCTACAAACCATGCCTAAACAAACTTGTCTTGCCTATGCATTTTTATACAGATTTTATTTTATCACTTCGGGGTTCGTGCGTGAACCGTAATTTCCACAACGCTTATCTTAGGGCTGGGCGATATTTCGCACGATATTGTTATGCGCATCTAATCAGTAAAGCCGGTTACTTGATTAGTAGTAAATTGCCTTCACCTGCTTACAGATGGAAGATATGATGCAGATATGCGTGTTAAATAGGCTTTATGCGGAGCGTCACGTGACAAAACCGGAAAACGGGTCTCATCGCATCCGCTTGTCAGAGAAAGTGTTAACGGCCGTAAGAACTGACTACGATATCTATGGATTTTTAAGGTAATCAGCTAACCTAACTAGTTCACTTTGTTATTGGCGTTTTATTCCATTTAAATATCAAAACGTTACTGTGAAGAAGAAAAATATAAAACGTTTAAATATCAACCTGCACATGTGAGGGATATTGGTTATGCTAAACTTTACTCGCTCCTTTTAAGTTATCTTGAGTAAAACCGCAAAAAATTTCATGAAGCACATAAGACCTGGACCGGAAGCGATGCGACCTGTTTTACAGAATGCGGAAGTAAGTTGTGCATAAAGCCTATTACACTCAAGAGTGTTAAAGTTAATGAGATAATTAAGTGATTAATTTAGTGATGATTAATCACTAGTGAGCGCCACTTCACGAGGTGCTCAACATAATATGTAATAATACACTGAGAGAAACTTGTATGGCATTGTCTACTACACATATGGAGAAAAAAAAACATGTAATACTAAATATTTAAAACTTTAAATCTTTAATCAGTATTTATCATTCAGGTTCACAATAAACTCAAAGATCACTTAAAGGAAATACTAATGACAAAAAAAAATCTGATTATATTTGAAACATGCCGTTGTGATCAGATCATCAGCTTGAAATTCCTTCTTATTCTGTTGGTCAGTAGTTCATAATCTCCTTCATGTTCAGTTGTGGTGTTTGTGATGGTCAGAGATGCAGTTTGTTTGTCCAGCTTCAGTCTGTCTCTGAATCTCCCATCAAGAACATCATCATATACGGTGAATCTGCCGGCCCGTTTATCGATGTCAGCTATTAAAGTCTTTCCAAACCTCCACTGAATCGTATAATCATCCTTTATTTCAGTGAGACTAGAGTTTAGAGTAGATGAATATCCCTCCAGCACTGGCACAAGCATTGTAAAATCACCTGAAGAACAGAGTTTTTCACAAATTAAAGCTTTAAAATCCCTTGATGTTGGTTTGATGAAGCTTCATTAAAATACTTGCTGAATTCAAACTGAATGTTATCTGACAGTTCAATTATTTCTATATGTGTCTGTAACATGTTTGTTCTGTTTAGGTTTAGTTTTCTCTCTGTTTCCATTTGCCTGTGTTCTCTCTCATTAGTTCATTCATCTCAGACCTGTTCTTCCAACAATCTCCCTGTTATTTAAACTCTGAGTTCTCTTACGAAAGGTTATATCCCGTATATAAGCGGGCTCGGGGGCCCTGATTTTCATCTCTTCAGCGAAGCTCTCTGCATTGATGGATCTTGAGAAGCCACCGCCGTCAAAACAAGCGACTAGCAAGCTCGCCACCGTGCCTACTACGCTATCTGGCGACAGTATAAGCCTTCTCTCTGTGTGTTCTCACCGCCGCGACACACACTCTTGTATCTAAAAGAACGCGAGACGCTTTTCTCAAAATAGCCTACCTCGCTCCACCTGTGGCTCATGCCGAGCGCCGGAAGTGATCTCTCGCGGGCCGCGGCTGTCACTTTACGTTCGAAAATCGATTGCACAATCGATCCGACCAACCAACACAAGTATCGAAAACGAAAATAGGGAATCGATTTTAACGGCCTTCTCTCAGAGCGCGTCCAGCTCGTCACGTCACGCCCGCAGCGAACGCGCGTCACACAGCAACACACACACATAACAGCAAATTGTACTTCTGCTTAATGAAAAATGTGAATTCTGCCGGTTTTTAGAAAGTCTCTTTGCATACAGATACAGATTCGGAATCGATTTTAACAGCCTTCTCTCAGAGCACGCGCTCGTCAAAGAGGAGCTCGTAACGACACGCTCGCAGCGAACGCGCGTCACACAGCAACACACACACACATAAGAGCAAATTGTACTTACGCAATAGTGAAAAATGTGAATTCTGTCGGTATTCAGGAAGTCTCATGCATACAGATACAGATACAGATTCAGGCTACAATAGCCTATGTTGGCAAAATTTGTTTGACATTTAAGTAGTAGGCTAATCGAAATAATAACTCTAATCGTAAACAGAGCCATGTTGAATCCTGTTTTTCATTGATGTTACCCAGGAGCAAACTGACATTGAATCAATGTGGAAACATGACATCGAAACAACGTTGATCTGACATTGTTTTCCCAGACAGCAAACTGACATTGAATCAACGTGGAAACGACGTCTCTCATGACATTGAAACAACGTTGATTTTGCTCATCGAATTAACGTTGAACCAACGTCAGACGCGGCATTCTTCAAAGCTAAATGAAAATCGAAAATTGGTTTGCTTTCATAACGTTGAAACAACGCGTTGATTTCAAGTTGATTTTCCGTTAGTTTTGAAAGAATGACGCGTCTGACGTTGGTTCAACGTTAATTCGATGAGCAAAACAATGTCAGATCAACGTTGTTTCGATGTCATATTTCCACGTTGATTCAATGTCAGTTTGCTATCTGGGTTGCTCATCGAATTAACGTTGAACCAACGTCAGACGCGTCATTCTTTCAAAACTAGCGGAAAATCAACTTGAAATCAACGCGTTGTTTCAACGTTATGAAAGCAAACCAATTTTCGATTTTCATTTAGCTTTGAAGAATGCCGCGTCTGACGTTGGTTCAACGTTAATTCAATGAGCAAAATCAACGTTGTTTCGATGTCATGAGAGACGTCGTTTCCACGTTGATTCAATGTTAGTTTGCTGTCTGGGTATGGCAGTCCACTCTGCTTATTTTTTTTTTTTTCGAGAATGTTACACTCCTGTTTGTCATTGTGCACGTAGCTTCATGTCAATAAAACATATTCAAGTGCGCGCCTTAAGCGCCTTCTTTAGGCCTACGTTCGCCCTTATGCGGTGTCCGTGGATTTGCCTATATTTGCCTAAAATGTAAACGTGTTTAAACATGGAAAATCGATTTTACAATCGATTCAATGAACACTTATGTCTCAAAAATCGATCAAGATTTTTTGACAAAAGTGACAGCCCTGATATTTAGATATACAGGAAATCGCAATAGCAGACGATTTCGGTATATCAACACGCCGGGTGAGCTCGTTCCGCACATAATTGCACATATGCGCAGTGTTTTCAGTTTCAGTTTTCAATTCGATCAAGAAGTCTTTATGTTCCCTTCTCTCGATTGGATTATGAAAGGAATAACCTCCCCTTTCAATCGGATTGAAATTTCGGATCGATTAATGTGTGATTGAGCAGACAATTCGATATCTAATGTATTATTTGGGGACTTCCATATCGAGACTTCCATACGATTTCCACGACGCATGCGCGAGAACTGAACTGAAGTAGTTGAAGGAGATCGCAATTCTCGCGCATGCGTCGTGGAAATCTATTGAAGTCTCGTTTCAGGCCAACAAGGAAGAAAAGGAATAGTCGAATAAAGTCGTTATTTTTGTTTGTTTTTTCGCACAAAAAGTATTCTCGTCACTTGATAAACTTATAATTGAGCCACTGTAGTCACTTGGAATATTTAAACATTTTCTTCATTGACTTTCTGGGCCGTCAAGTGTCATTCCCTTAGGAGCCAATGTGGTAGTTATACAGCTCTCAAATTTAATCAAAAATATCTTCATTTGTGTTCCGAAGACGAACGAAGGTCTTACGGGGTTGGTACAGCATGGGGGTGAGTAATTAATGACTTAATTTTCATTTTTGGGTGAACTAACCCTTTAATAAATACGCATAGGACTCGGTGTGCAAGGTTTCTATGCGTGACGAATTTTTAGGCTGACGAACACGAAAAAACGCATACGAAAATTTCGTACTCAGTGTGCAATGGTCTTAGACATCCATTATATGACTGACAGTACCCATGGAGGACAGAGCCCTCAGAGCTATTTTAGATCTGAGACATTTGAACAAAGTTCTTCTGAAAAAAAAAATTCTCTCGACAGTGTCAGATCCAGGAACCTCTGCGATCTAACAGAACGTCTCCTCGTTTGGTATCAGCACCATCTGCACTCACTGAGAGCTGCGCATGTGCCAGGCAACCTGAACGACGGCCCAGACATGTTCCCCCGGGGGGAATCCCTGCATCCCCAATCAGTCCAGTCGCTACGGCGTTTTTTCGACAAAACGGAAGTCAGCCTCTTTGCCTAAAGAAAGAACGAGGACACGCTAGCCCAAATCTGGCCCAGCCGCCCGCTGTGTGCTCCCCTCCGGACAAACAGCCCCGTGGCCGATTCCTGTGAGGACAGATCTCCTCTCTCAGGCTTGATCCGGCATCCCCATCGGGAGCGCTGGTCTCTATTAAAGTCTGCTATTAAAGTGTTTCCGAACCTCCACTGAATCACATCATCATCCTTCATTTCAGTAAGACGAGTGTTTAGAGAGACTGAATCTCCCTCCATCACTGACACTAACTCATTCATTCAAACTGAACCACAAACAGGATTAAACAGATTAAAACAGTCATTTGCTAAAGTAAATGGCTTGAAATTTAAATTTGAAATGAATATCATCATTAAACCACAGAAGCAAAATGTCTTGTGCTGATTAAAATATAAAACAGCTGAAACTGATATTTAACTCACCAGAGACATAGAGCTTGAATTTCCTAATTCTGTTGGTCAGTAGTTGATAATCTCCTTCATTTTCAGTTGTGATGTGTGTGATGATCAGAGATCCAGTTTGATTGTCCAGCTTCAGTCTGTCTCTGAATCTCCCATCAAGAACATCATCATATACAGTGAATCTGTCGGCCCGTTTATTGATTTCTGCTATTAAAGTCTTTCCAAACCTCCACTGAATCACATCATCATCCTTTATTTCAGTGAGATGAGAGTTTAGAGAGACTGAATCTCCCTCCATCTCTGACACTAACTCTGGTATAACACCTGAAGAACAGAGTTTTTCACAGATTAAAGCTTTAAAATCTCTTGATGGTTGGTTTGATGAAGCTTCACTAAAATACTTACAATAATTTATATGTGAAATTAATAATATTCCGCGGCAGTACAAAGACAAAATATGATGAATGAAAAGATGAATAGATTTATATATGGAACAATTACTAAACACTTTTACTGTAATGTTTAATGTCACACTAAAACTGCTGTTGATTATCTGAGCCTCATATTTATATTATTTCATTGATCCATAATACCTGAGTTTAGAGCTGAATTCAAACTTGATCTGACAGTAAAATTATTGAATTGAATTGAACACGGTTGAATTATTTCTGTTTCTGCAATGTCTTTTTCTATTTAGGTTTAGTTTTCTCTCGGTTTCATTTGCCTTTGTTCTCTATCATTAGTTCATTCATCTCAGACCTGTTTCTGTTCTTCCAACCCGATCTCACGAGAATTCGTACGACTTTTACGAGGTGGCTAATTCGTAACAATTCGTACGACCTCACACGTACGAATTAGTACGTTTTTGCTAAATCGTACATATTTTACGAATTGGCCAATTCGTATGAATTTGTACGAATGACCTACCCCTGACCCCGCCCCTAAACCTACACCTACAACCCGGTCTCATCCCAAATCGTCATATAACTGACGTTTTGGGACGTCTTTTGACCATACGTCAATATTCGCCTTTTTAGGGCCCCCTTAAACGTCGGTAGATGAGGTTATGGGATCCTAACTCTACCCCATACCTAAACTTAACCCTAAACCTAACCCGTCACCTAACTGACGTTAAAGGTAAAGCGTCAGTTGTATGACGGCCCGGGATCGCCATCTACCGACGTTTAAGGGGGCCCTAAAAAGGCGGATATTGACGTATGGTCAAAATACGTCCCAAAACGTCAGTTATATGACGATTTGGGATGAGACTGTGTTAACACCTACACTAATAGAAGAAATGGTTCTATTTAGAACCAGAAATGGTTCCATCCCCCGCTTCATATATGGAACTTCTATACAGAACCATTTTTTTGGTAAAAGGTTCTATTGGTCAAGTATGGAACCCCAGGGTTCTATATAGAACCCAGAGGAACCCTTTTTTAAGAGTGTATAGAACCTTTTAGGGGTTCCAAATACGTAGCGCTGATAGAACCTTTAAAGTTCTATATAGACAGCCCATTCTCACCCCCAAGGCGTCACTTAACTGACGCCTTGGGAAGCATTTGGACATGCTTCAATATCTGACGCTTTAGGCGCCCTTTAGCGTCAGTTAGATGACGCCCTAGGATCGCGTGTACCCTACCCCCACCCCACACCTAAGCCTAACCGCGTCCTCTAACTGACGCTTTCCTTTAGCGTCAGTTAGATGACGCCGTAGGATCGCGTCATGTAAGTGACGCTAAAGGGCGCCTAAAACGTCAAATATTGAAGCATGGTCAAAGGTGACGCCTTGGGGTGAGAATGCGTTGATATAGAACCTTTTCTTCTAAAGGCCATTGCACACCGAGTCCGAAATTCGCATCCGAAATTTTCGCACGTTAAAAAAAAAATTCGACCTCACGTTATGTCAGTCACGCTTGCACACCGCCTCCGAAACTTTCGTCCGTCATAAAATTAATCGGATCGGGTTCGATTTTCTGCGTTTTTCGCATCCAGAGCCAGCATTTTGAGAGGTCTTTTGACAATTCAGGGCCGGGGGAGCTCGTCCTCAAATCATTGCACATATGCGCCGTGCTTTCAGTTTCGGTTTACAATTCGATCAAGTGTTTATGTTCTCTTCTCTATTGGATTATGAAATTAATAAACCTCCCCTTTCAATCAGATTGAAATTTAGAATCGAATAAGGTGTGATTGAGCAGCCTATTCGATAACTAATGTATTATTTGGGCACAATATACACAATAACAGCCTAGCTGTTCTGTCTACCCAGCGCTTCCAACGGGCCGCGCGCGGGTGTGTGTTTGTCCGTGTGTGTGTCCATACCTGGTCCATTTCAGACACACTGCCAGTCTCCGTTCAGAATCGATTGGTTCACGGAAATTGGTGGTCTTGTTTTTAATATGTGGCTCCAGAATCGCTAGCAAAGCATCAAACTGTCCCACTGACATTCTGAGGTAAATTTTGAATCGCTCAGGATAAATTCGCAACTCCTTGATAACTCTCCTTCCTCTCGGCGCAATTTCAGGATTGGATGGACGTAATATTTTCTCTTTCTTCCCTTTTCAATAAGAGAGAGGGCAAAAATCATCCTCACTGCTTGACGAATCCATTTGGTATTTTTGCGTTTTTTCCCGCAAAGGTTTAAGAAATACACAACGGACTCGGTGTGCAAGGTTTCTATGCGTGACGAATTTTTAAGCTGACGAACACGAAAATACGCATACGAATATTTCGTGCTCAGTGTGCAATGGCCTTAAGAGTGTACCCATCACGTGGGTTTCGACAAATTGTATGAATTCGTACGAGTGAGGTCGTATGAATTAGCCACTTTTTAATCACTCCTACGAATTGGTCGTGAGATAGCGTAGGTTCTTCCAATAATCTCCCTGTTCCTTAAACTCTGAGTTCTCTTACGATACAACGCATTCTCACCCCAAGGCGTCACCTTTGACCATGCTTCAATATTTGACGTTTTAGGCGCCCTTTAGCGTCACTTACATGACGCGATCCTACGGCGTCATCTAACTGACGCTAAAGGAAAGCGTCAATAAGAGGACGCGCTTAAGTTTAGGTCTGGGGTGGGGTGGGGGTAGGGTACACGCGATCCTAGGGCGTCATCTATCTGACGCTAAAGGGCGCCTAAAGCGTCAAATATTGAAGCGTGGTCGAATGCTTCCCAAAGCGTCAGTTAGGTGACGCCTTGGGGGTGAGAATGGGCTGTACGATAGGTTCTCTCGTATTGCATAAGTTAGCTTATGCTACGGGTAAAGTCATCTTTTCTCAAAATATTGAAGCCAAAAATTATCCTTAATTTTGTATTCATTGTAAACGCAGTGCAGCAGCTAGCAGACCTACAGTAGGCTATCTAGTGAGCTCAATCGCGCCCTCATCGCATCTTAGCCTGCCAGAATGGGCGTGGTTTAGCGTATATAAGCGGGCTTTGGAGGCTGTCCCCCTGATTTTCATCTCTTCAGCGAAGCTCTCAGAGGATGTTCTTACAGTTCAGCTTACAGTCTCTGGAGTGAAAGGCCTAACGTTACTGATCACGGCAGAAATGAAAGTGTGCGCACTTTATGACAGCTCATGGAGTGGTTTTACAGATATAAAAGTTTGAAAAGGTGAACGTTACAGTGCAACATCATCCTTTATTTCTGTAAGACGAGAGGTTAGAGAGACTGAATCTCCCTCCATCACTGATATTTCAACTGCATCATCAAACACACATTAAAAAAAACAGGAAGACTGTTTGTCACAAATAAATAAACAATATCATAAAACAACAAAAATAATCTAAATGGTGTATCAATTCATTTCAAATTTGTCATAAAAATGAGGTGTAAACATTTTTGAACTCACCAACGACAACGACCCCGATTCTCTCTCTGATCGCACTGTTGATCAGTAAATTATAAACTCCAGTATCTTCAGTTGTGATGCGTGTGATGGTCAGAGATCCAGTTTGATTGTCCAGCTTCAGTCTGTCTCTCAATCTCCCATCAAGAACATCATCATATAGAGCAATTCTGTCGGCCCGTTTATAGATTTCTGCTATTAAAGTGTCTTCAAAGTTCCACTGAATCACATCATCATCCTTCATTTCAGTGAGACGAGAGTTTAGAGAGACTGAATCTCCCTCTGACACTATCATTGCCATTCCTCCAACACTTACACAAACTACACACAGATGTAAAGGATGTTAAACACTATTCTCTTGTGTATTTTGCTTATTCAGTGTGCAGTGAGTGTACAGGAGTTTGCCACATGTACATACATGCGCATAATTACACTGTATACAGTGGTGTGAATAAGTGTTGGCCCCCATGCTAAAGTTGCCTAAAAAGAGGAATAAAAAATCATCTTTTGGATATTGATCTTAATGCCTTAATTAGAAAAATGAGGAAAACTCCAACCTTTAAGGACACCAATTTTCTTTGTGAATGAATAATGTATCATAAATAAATAAATGTTTTTCCTTAAAATACAGGGTGCATAAGTCAGGACACCCCTATGTCAAATTCTCATAGAGTCAGGCAGATTTTTATTTTTAAAAGCCAGTTATTTCATGGATCCAGGATAATATGCATCCTGATAAAGTTCCCTTGGCCTTTGGGATTAAAATATCCCCACATCATCACACACAGCCAAGAGATTGGCATGGTTTTACTTCAGTTAGCCTAATAGCTGGTTTGATTTGCATTGAAAGATGATCTTATGGAAAGTACCCCATGCCAATCTCTCGGTGTGGTGGAAGGTGTGTGATGATGTGGGGATATTTTAATCCCAAAGGCCAAGGGAACTTTATCAGGATGCATATTATCCTGGATCCATGAAATAACTGGCTTTTAAAAATAAAAATCTGCCTGACTCTATGGGAATTTAACATAGGGGTGTCCTGACTTATGCACCCTGTATTTTAAGGAAAAACATTTATTTATTTATGATACATTATTCATTCACAAAGAAAATTGGTGTCCTTAAAGGTTGGAGTTTTCCTCATTTTTCTAATTAAGGCATTAAGATCAATATCCAAAAGATGATTTTTTATTCCTCTTTTTAGGCAACTTTAGCATGGGGGCAAACACTTATTCACACCACTGTATACAGTGTAATTATGCGCATGCATGTACATGTGGCAAACTCCTGAATGTTAATCCTTTCTGATTAATTTAACCAGTAATTCATCACATCAGAACAGAAACAACTGAAGTCATGAAAACACATTTAAACTCACCATCCAGACGCCACAAACACAAGCAGAGCAAAACTAATTTGAGAAACATCTTCTTCATCGGTTCACTGAAAAGCCCACGATAGTAACTCTTAATGTCTGAAACACTCAGATTGACCTGAAACACGACTGAACTGATATTTATCAGGTGTGTGAATCCTCCCCCAACATCAGTTAGTTTCCGCTCACACACTCGTCTCCTTTAACATCACGAAAAATCAACAAGCTTTTGTTGATCATACATTTTTTAATCTATTCTGGCCCTGAATAAACTAAAAACAGGAACAGGCAAAGTCCAGGCGATCAACAAACAGCCTGTCTGAAGGCAAAACACACAAGCCGTGAACAAAGTTTAAGTCCAAACCAGTGTAAATCAAGCAGGAATAAACAGGCTTGATATTTCCAAAGGTCTGAAAATGCTTAAATCATCTTTCCATATGTAAAACGCTCTACAAAGTTTGTATTTGTAGTAGAAGCACAGTAAAAAAACAACACTTGATTTTATCACAGTAACATTAGTTTTAATATGATAAGTGTATTAAAAAGACAAAACTTGCCATGCTTTTATCACACTACTGGTTAATGCTTAAAAATGTAACATCCAATATTTGTAAGGTAAATCAATACTTTTTCCTTTAAATAATCCTATAATGATGTCTTCTTTTCTCCTTTTTTCAGCCGGAAAGACCAAATTTGGCCTTTCGGACTCAGTCAGCCCATTATTGTTTGAGGACAAGTAAACAGAGGAGACGGAAAGCTGCAAATGCTAATATTCGCAATGGTGTGTGTGTGTTGGTTTATACCGGAATATATTGAAAGAAAAACAAACTAATTGGTAATATTAAAAGTAAATAAATAAATAATGTTTTTACAGAAAGGATATAAGAAGCACCTGTTAAAAAATATAAATAAAGCTGTATATGGTGTACACTGCTGAAATATTTAAAATATACATCAAGTTTGTATTCCTCTGAATAAATCATGGAGAGACTCTTGAACCTCAGAGTGAGAAACTTTATTGATAAAGGCAAGAAAATACATACAGCAAATATACAGCAGTTTAAAGTGAGATCTGTGTCTCTATTATTATTTTTGTATCTGAGAGAAATATCAACAAAAAAGTGTCACTGTTAAAATCTGACACTGACAGAAAGCACAAACTCAAATAATCAGCAGTATTTATTATGAAGGGGAAAAACACTAGAAGAACAAAAAACACTTCAAGAACCTTTAAAGTTCAGCGTTCTGCTTTAGATTTCAATACTTTCTGAAAAAGATGAACATATAAAGCCATTAATATATGTGACATACATTTATAATAGCTTAAAATCAGTTTGTGAGATCTGACATCATCAATCATGCACCTGATGTGTGAATATGTGCTTGATCTCGTTCAGCTCTTCTGGATCTGATGTCATAAACCAGAATGATGACAGTAGCCACGCCCACCAGAGCAGAGAGGACCAATCGGATCACAGCTTCAGTGGGACCACAGCAGTGGACAGAGTCTGAGGAATAAACACATCAAACTGACATCAGATCAGTCAATAAACACTAATATCAGCGCTGACATCAACTAATATCAGCGCTGTCGTACCTGCACATGTGTGTCTGCAAAGTGTGCTGATGTCCAGATGTGTGGTCTGGTTGCTGATGGGATTGTTCAGCACACAGCTGTAGGTGTTTTTATCCTGATATTCCACCTCCAGAGGTAGAGAGAGACTGATGCTGAGATCACACACACTGATGCTGGACAATACACTCATTCCTGCGTACCAGGACAGAGTCACATGACTCACATTCACCATTGATGAACACACCAGTGAACATGATGATGATGATGAAGAGCAGTTTCTACTGATGACAGGAACAGGCAGACGAGCTGAAAAACATGAGAGAATAAAGCTGATGAATGAAGATATTCAAGCAGACGAGGAAGAAACATCGAGAGGAACCGAAATGATCAAAAGTAGAGCATTTAAAATCAATTTAATAGAAAGTTAAATATAAATCTGGATGGTCACGTAAAACCAGTAAGGGAATTAGTAATTTTAACAAATTAGTCATGATAAAATAGTTTATATAGCTGTAATAAATAAAACAGGTGAAACTGATATTTAACTCACCGTAGACATTGAGACGAAAATAAAAAACGGACCTCGACAAATATGTCACTTCATAACGTCCAGTATCTTCAGTTGTGGTGTTTGTGATGGTCAGAGATCCAGTTTGATTGTCCAGCTTCAGTCTGTCTCTGAATCTCCCATCAAGATCATCATCATATACAGTGATTCTGCCGCCCTGTTTACTGATTTCTGCTATTAAAGTCTTTTCAAACATCCACTGAATCGCATCATAATCCTTTATTTTAGTGTCAGAGTTTAGAGAGGCTGAATCTCCCTCCATCACTGACACTAACTTCACCTCTGAATCACCAAACACACACAGGGAACAAAAACAGATCAAGAAAGTCATTTACAAAAGTAAATCGTTAGAAATTTAAATTTGACATGATAATCATTAAACAACAGAAGCAAAACTGAGTTTGGATTATTAATTGTATATTTTGTGCTGATTAAAATATAAAACAGGTGAAACTGATATTTAACTCACTGTAGACATTGAGCTTGAAATTCCTTCTTATTCTGTTGCTCAGTAGTTTATATTCTCCTACATGTTCTGTACTGGTGTGTGTGATGGTCAGAGATCCAGTTTGATTGTCCAGCTTCATTCTGTCTTTGAATCTCCCATCAAGAACATCATCATATACAGTGATTCTGGCGGCCGTTACATTGATTTCAGCAATTAATGTGTTTTCGTATTCAAACCTCCACTGAATCTCATCATCATCCTTTATTTCAGTGAGACCAGAGTTTAGAGAAACTGAATCTCCCTCAAACACTGACACTGGCTCAAAATGATCAATACCAAACACACCTGTAGAACAGTTTTTCACAGATTAAACCTTTCAAGGGCATATTGCAGGTTATAGAGGACCCAATGAGTCAATGCATGAAAAAACAATGTACGAACTAGATTTTCTTTAAAATATACTTATAAACACGCTACAGAAGCTTCTGGAGTTGTTTTTGTGAGAATGTTACTTCCGCGTCTGAAAATGGGCGTGGCGGGCGTGACGCAACGAGCGGGAGAGCCGTCGATTCACACAACAGGATCGCAATGACATTTCGGACGCTGAGGAAATACTCGTATGACGGACCAAGCCATAAAGTTACGAGCCTGCTATGCTAAAGAGATCAAGCCAGGATAATGTCAGACAGAACGGTCAGAGACACATTGAGTTGTGGTGTGAGTCTTATGGTGAGAGATGTACACGTTTGCTAACGATACACTGCGCTCACAATGTTGTATGATCCTATAACAGGCCAGCAGACATTAGTATGTTTAGGGTAGATTTATATACTATTAAATGTATAAAAACTATACTTGAGTATATTTCTATTGTACTAAAAGCACTCAGGTCAATTTTTAATACTTTTCACCTGGGTTATAACATAAACAGAAAATTAAAGATTTGAGTATTTAAACAACCAATTTAGTTTTTCAATTACAAGGTGCCTCTATAGGGCATGACTAAGTTACCTATATCACACTATTTGATGATGCCATTGACGATCAATATTCTTGCTTCGGCATCCCATGTACTCCATCATATCGCCGGGATGATAATCATATAATCTGAAGTGAACGCAACCTGTTTCTGTTCTTCCAATAATCTCCCTGTTATTTAAACCCTGAGATCTGTCCATTTCATCGTCCGTTATCGCCTACATGACATGGTTGTGTTTCTCCTCATGATTCTCCTGTGTATTGTGTGGATTATTAGATTAAAGTCTGTTCTTTGAGATATTTCCTGAGCTTATAGCCACCGTTGCTGACACTAACAGTTAATGATAATCTTCTCTAATTTAACCAGTAATTTATCACATCAGAACAGAAACAACTGAAGTCATAAAAACACATTTAAACTCACCATCCAGACGCCAGAAACACAAGCAGAGCAAAACTAATTTGAGAAACATCTTCTTCATCGGTTCACTGAAAAGCCCACGATAGTAACTCTTAATGTCTGAAACACTCAGATTGATCTGAAACACGACTGAACTGAGATATTTATCAGGTTGTGTGTGAATCCTCCCCCAACCTCAGTTAGTTTCCGCTCACACACTCGTCTCCTTTAACATCACGAACATCAACAAGATTTTGCTGATCTCACATTTTCAAATGAATTCTGGCCCTGTAGCAGAAGAGTGAAATATTGGCTTATCTGTATCTACTGGTGCGTTAGAGCTGTCAGTCATATTTGACCTGCGACTCTTATTTCTCTGATGATGAATTCACTTTATTTCAGTGTAAAGATGTTTTGTGTGGAGTGGAAGTTTGTGAGCATCTTATTAGCCGCAGAGAAAATGAAGAAACACTTAAGGCACAAACTGCTGACACACAAACATCCCGCAGAAGCTGTTTATCCCCGACAGATCAAACCAGACACCCCAAAGACGTGCGGTCAGGGTAGGCAGTGCCTCACCAAAGGAAATGTTGACATTACATTTATTAATTCCAAGAGCTTTATTAATTCACCACATTATTAATTGCATTTATTTTATTCCAAATATACATTTTTTGTAACAAAAATTTTCAGGAATACACATACAATATACTACTTTTGCCATTGTTTGCCATAGAAGGTCCATAGAACGTAGTTTACGTAGATGTGCGCATGCGCAGTCGGTTCTCTTGCTGTCTTAAATTATCAACATTGAGGCAGAGCGCGAGCTTTGTCACGTGATCCACTCGCTCTCACTCAATCCGCGCTTCCCGATACTTAGGCCGTGAGTCCACCAAAGCGTTTTTCCACGCGCCTGGCGTATGTTTTCAATTGTTTTCAATGGGAGCGCCACGTTTTTTAAACGCCGGCCCATGAGCGTACTGAGGCGCTGAGCGTTTTTTTTCTTCACACTGAAGCGCCGAGCGCCCAGCGTTTTTACTGGTCGCTGGGAGTTGAAAAATGTTTAACCTTGGATAAAACGCAGCGCTCATCACTAGGGATGGGTATCGTTAAGGTTTTATCGGTATTACTACTCTTACCGATACCGCTTATCGATCCGGTACTTTAACGGTATTCTTATCGGTTCTTTTTGGTGTTTTTTATTATTATTTTTTTTTTTAAGAATTAAGAACATAATTAAACTTTATATTTTGAAATGTAAAATATAAAAAGCAAAACGAAGAAAAATATATTTTTGTTATGCAGCAATGTGCAGGCTTTTTTTGTTTATACAAAAAGAACACATAAGAAAAAAAACAAGTACAAACACAAGAATACAATTAATCAAAGGTACAAATTATATACAAAGTGCTTTAATTTCAGGAAGGTCTACTAGCATATCTTGTCAGGTAATTGTTTCTGTCTGAAAAGAAACCTATTAATCAAATATAAAATAGCACTGTAGTTTATCATAGATAGAATAATGCTTATTAAATCTAAAGTTACTCATTCAAAGGCTGTGAGTGATTTTCTCTGCCTTTTGTTGTTTGATTTGCATTAATGGCTGAATCGTCAGCAGGTTTAGGCTATTAGACTGCTGCCCCTTTAAGACAGAGTGCAGATAATGGGGACTGATGCACCATCATTTTCTCCCTATTATTTACGTCCGTTTAAGACATACTTGTGTTTAAGTGAATAAACTGTGTTTAAGTGAATCTCAGAGCTGGTCATTTTGACATTTTTATGTATATTTGATAGTTAAGGACGCACAAAGCCCAAGTATATACTTTTCTTGTCTCGTTGGAGTCCGTTTCGGAGCGTGCACCGCCTTGTGAACAGCGTCTCTTGCGCAGGTTTTGTGTTTTTAATAGCTATTTTCTTGATCTTGCAACAGTAGAAGACAGCACTTTGCAACAATCGCCGATCGTGCTGATTCTGACGGTTACGTTTGGGTTTTAGGAAGAACTGACAGCGCTCCGCAGTGCTGTGAAGTAAAGGAAGTTAAGCTGGACAGATCGTTTCGTTTTTTAACGGTTTTATCTCAAATATCTTCTTTTTATAATCTTTGGAAGCCGAAATACAAAATATATTAGAATAATACCCCAGATCTAAAGTGTAACCACGTTGGATGTTTAGTTCTGTCCTCATTGTCACTCATTAAGCAGGGCTGTCGTGTTGCACGTGCTGTGGCTTTGCGTGAGAGATCGCTCTCTCTCTCTCTCTTCTCTCTCTCTTCTGAACTGCGAATTGCAAATTTGCATCACAGACATATGGTTTAATTAAAATATAGTTGATATATAGAAATGGCTGGTGATATAAACATGTTCGAGATAACGTCTTTATAGGAATAATAAATAGTAGCCCAACTTGCGTGTATTTACTTAATTTCTCCAGTACCGACAGCAGAACCGGTAACGTCCGAGCTTATCGATACAGCGGTCTTTCAAAATTCAGTACCGGGGCCCGTTTAATACCGGGTTTCGGTACCCATCCCTACTCATCACTGTCACTTTTTACCCAGCCGTCCAATCACAGTGGAGGAGGGGCGGGACTAATACCACACCGACCAACTGTCACAACATTCAAACTGCTGCGGATATTCTGTATCATAGCAACGAAACATCTCAACTAGTGCTGTCAAACGATTAAAATATTTAATCGCGATTAATCGCATTAAAGGGTTAGTTCACCCAAAAATGAAAATTCTGTCAGTATTTACTCACCCTCATGTTGTTCCAACCCCGTAAGACCTTCGTTCATCTTCGCAACACAAATTAAGATATTTCAGATATTAAGATCGCTCCTGCATACAGTCCATAGGCTTCTTGAGGGACTGGCTCTTGCTGTCCCCGAAAAGTAATTAAAGACATCGTTAAAATAGTCCAAGTGACTACAGGGGCTCAATCTTAAGTTTATCAAACGACGAGAACACTTTTGTGCGCAAAAAAACAACAAAAATAACGACTTTATTTCAAAGTTACTTGCGCTTTGCGTTTACACTTGCGTTTCAGATCGTTAAAATAGGGCCCATAAAGTCAGAATTGCAAGATATAAAGTCAGAATTGCATGATATGAGGTCAGAATTGCGAGATATAAAGTCAGAATTGCGAGATATAAAGTCAGAATTGTGAGATATAAAGTCAGAATTGCGTGATATAAAGTCAGAATTGCGAGATATAAAGTCAGAATTGCGTGATATAAAGTCAGAATTGTGAGATATAAAGTCAGAATTGCGAGATATAAAGTCAGAATTGTGAGATATAAAGTCAGAATTGTGAGATATAAAGTCAGAATTGCGTGATATAAACTCAGAATTGCGAGATATAAAGTCAGAATTGTGAGATATAAAGTCAGAATTGCGTGATATAAACTCAGAATTGCGAGATATAAAGTCAGAATTGTGAGATATAAAGTCAGAATTGCGAGATATAAAGTCAGAATTGCGTGATATAAACTCAGAATTGTGAGATATAAAGTCAGAATTGTGAGATATAAAGTCAGAATTGCTAGATATAAAGTCAGAATTGCGTGATATAAAGTCAGAATTGTGAGATATAAAGTCAGAATTGCGTGATATAAACTCAGAATTGTGAGATATAAAGTCAGAATTGTGAGATATAAAGTCAGAATTGAGAGATATAAAGTCAGAATTGCGAGATATAAAGTCAGAATTGCGAGATATAAAGTCAGAATTGCGAGATATAAAGTCAGAATTGCGTGATATAAACTCAGAACTGTGAGATATAAAGTCAGAATTGTGAGATATAAAGTCAGAATTGTGAGATATAAAGTCAGAATTGCGAGATATAAAGTCAGAATTGCGAGATATAAAGTCAGAATTGTGAGATATAAAGTCAGAATTGCGAGATATAAAGTCAGAATTGTGAGATATAAAGTCAGAATTGCGTGATATAAACTCAGAACTGTGAGATATAAAGTCAGAATTGTGAGATATAAAGTCAGAATTGCGTGATATAAACTCAGAACTGCGAGATATAAAGTCAGAATTGTGAGATATAAAGTCAGAATTGCGAGATATAAAGTCAGAATTGCGTGATATAAACTCAGAACTGTGAGATATAAAGTCAGAATTGTGAGATATAAAGTCAGAATTGCGAGATATAAAGTCAGAATTGCGAGATATAAAGTCAGAATTGCGAGATATAAAGTCAGAATTATGAGATATAAAGTCAGAATTGCGTGATATAAACTCAGAAGTCAGATATAACTCAGATATAAACTCAGAAGTCAGAATTGTGAGATATAAAGTCAGAATTGTGAGATATAAAGTCAGAATTGTGAGATATAAAGTCAGAATTGCGAGATATAAAGTCAGAATTGTGAGATATAAAGTCAGAATTGCGAGATATAAAGTCATAATTGTGAGATATAAAGTCAGAATTGCGTGATATAAAGTCAGAATTGTGAGATATAAAGTCAGAATTGCGAGATATAAAGTCAGAATTGTGAGATATAAAGTCAGAATTGCGTGATATAAAGTCAGAATTGTGAGATATAAAGTCAGAATTGCGTGATATAAAGTCAGAATTGTAAGATATAAAGTCAGAATTGTGAGATATAAAGTCAGAATTGCGAGATATAAAGTCAGAATTGCGAGATATAAAGTCAGAATTGCGTGATATAAACTCAGAACTGAGATATAAAGTCAGAATTGTGAGATATAAAGTCAGAATTGTGAGATATAAAGTCAGAATTGCGAGATATAAAGTCAGAATTGTGAGATATAAAGTCAGAATTGCGAGATATAAAGTCAGAATTGTGAGATATAAAGTCAGAATTGCGTGATATAAACTCAGAACTGTGAGATATAAAGTCAGAATTGTGAGATATAAAGTCAGAATTGCGTGATATAAACTCAGAACTGTGAGATATAAAGTCAGAATTGTGAGATATAAAGTCAGAATTGCGAGATATAAAGTCAGAATTGCGTGATATAAACTCAGAACTGTGAGATATAAAGTCAGAATTGTGAGATATAAAGTCAGAATTGCGAGATATAAAGTCAGAATTGCGAGATATAAAGTCAGAATTGCGAGATATAAAGTCAGAATTATGAGATATAAAGTCAGAATTGCGAGATATAAAGTCAGAATTGTGAGATATAAAGTCAGAATTGCGAGATATAAAGTCAGAACTGTGAGATATAAAGTCAGAATTGTGAGATATAAAGTCAGAATTGCGAGATATAAAGTCAGAATTGTGAGATATAAAGTCAGAATTGTGAGATATAAAGTCAGAATTGTGAGATATAAAGTCAGAATTGGGAGATATAAAGTCAGAATTATGAGATATAAAGTCAGAATTGCGAGATATAAACTCAGAATTGTGAGATATAAAGTCAGAATTGCGAGATATAAAGTCAGAATTGCGAGATATAAAGTCAGAATTGCGTGATATAAAGTCAGAATTGTGAGATATAAAGTCAGAATTGCGAGATATAAAGTCAGAATTGCGAGATATAAAGTCAGAATTGTGAGATATAAAGTCAGAATTGTGAGATATAAAGTCAGAATTGTGAGATATAAAGTCAGAATTGTGAGATATAAAGTCAGAATTGCGAGATATAAAGTCAGAATTGTGAGATATAAAGTCAGAATTGTAAGATATAAAGTCATAATTGCGAGATATAAAGTCAGAATTGTGAGATATAAAGTCAGAATTGTGAGATATAAAGTCAGAATTGCGTGATATAAAGTCAGAATTGTGAGATATAAAGTCAGAATTGCGAGATATAAAGTCAGAATTGTGAGATATAAAGTCAGAATTGCGTGATATAAAGTCAGAATTGTGAGATATAAAGTCAGAATTGCGTGATATAAAGTCAGAATTGTAAGATATAAAGTCAGAATTGTGAGATATAAAGTCAGAATTGCGAGATATAAAGTCAGAATTGCGAGATATAAAGTCAGAATTGCGTGATATAAACTCAGAACTGTGAGATATAAAGTCAGAATTGTGAGATATAAAGTCAGAATTGTGAGATATAAAGTCAGAATTGCGAGATATAAAGTCAGAATTGTGAGATATAAAGTCAGAATTGCGAGATATAAAGTCAGAATTGTGAGATATAAAGTCAGAATTGCGTGATATAAACTCAGAACTGTGAGATATAAAGTCAGAATTGTGAGATATAAAGTCAGAATTGCGTGATATAAACTCAGAACTGTGAGATATAAAGTCAGAATTGTGAGATATAAAGTCAGAATTGCGAGATATAAAGTCAGAATTGCGTGATATAAACTCAGAACTGTGAGATATAAAGTCAGAATTGTGAGATATAAAGTCAGAATTGCGAGATATAAAGTCAGAATTGCGAGATATAAAGTCAGAATTGCGAGATATAAAGTCAGAATTATGAGATATAAAGTCAGAATTGCGAGATATAAAGTCAGAATTGTGAGATATAAAGTCAGAATTGCGAGATATAAAGTCAGAACTGTGAGATATAAAGTCAGAATTGTGAGATATAAAGTCAGAATTGCGAGATATAAAGTCAGAATTGTGAGATATAAAGTCAGAATTGTGAGATATAAAGTCAGAATTGTGAGATATAAAGTCAGAATTGGGAGATATAAAGTCAGAATTATGAGATATAAAGTCAGAATTGCGAGATATAAACTCAGAATTGTGAGATATAAAGTCAGAATTGCGAGATATAAAGTCAGAATTGCGAGATATAAAGTCAGAATTGCGTGATATAAAGTCAGAATTGTGAGATATAAAGTCAGAATTGCGAGATATAAAGTCAGAATTGTGAGATATAAAGTCAGAATTGCGAGATATAAAGTCAGAATTGTGAGATATAAAGTCAGAATTGTGAGATATAAAGTCAGAATTGTGAGATATAAAGTCAGAATTGTGAGATATAAAGTCAGAATTGCGAGATATAAAGTCAGAATTGTGAGATATAAAGTCAGAATTGTAAGATATAAAGTCATAATTGCGAGATATAAAGTCAGAATTGTGAGATATAAAGTCAGAATTGTGAGATATAAAGTCAGAATTGCGAGATATAAAGTCAGAATTGTGAGATATAAAGTCAGAATTGTGAGATATAAAGTCAGAATTGCGAGATATAAAGTCAGAATTGTGAGATATAAAGTCAGAATTGTGAGATATAAAGTCAGAATTGTGAGATATAAAGTCAGAATTGTGAGATATAAAGTCAGAATTGTGAGATATAAAGTCAGAATTGCGAGATATAAAGTCAGAATTGTGAGATATAAAGTCAGAATTGTAAGATATAAAGTCAGAATTGCGAGATATAAAGTCAGAATTGTGAGATATAAAGTCAGAATTGCGAGATATAAAGTCAGAATTGCGAGATATAAAGTCAGAATTGCGAGATATAAATTGGGAGAACTTCCACTTTCATCTGTGCGCTATTACTTTCTAAATCGTTAATAACAGTTTCTTGTTAGTTAATAATAGTTACTAGATTGTTAACATTGTGTTACTCATTGGTTCTTGTGTAGTTATTCATTAACGAAGGAACCGGATTCTAAAGTGTTACAAAAACTCTAAATAATGCAAACAACAAATTTTGCTGTTTAGAATTGACTTATTTATTTACTTTAATAACTGAATGCAGTGAGACAAGAAACATTAACATAGTTTTAATTCCAGGCATCAGATTAAGATCTAATGTGTGCATATTATGAATTAATTTAATAAATCAAGCAGGAATAAATTTGATATTTCCAAAGGTCTGAAAACGCTTAAATCATCTTTGCATGTGTGAAACATAATAAAAGCTCACTGAGACTATCTGGTACTTCCAGGTCACACTTAAAAATCATCATTCCACGTAACAATACACAGATCATGTCTTGATGCCTTGCAGAAGTGTTTTGGTGGTGGTTTCTTTCTCATTTGCTCCTCTAGTTCACCTTGTCTCTTTTCTAAATATTCTTCAACATGCATTTCTTTACTTTACAGTTTTTCTCGATTGCTTAAACAAATTTCTTCAAAACCGTCGTATTCTAGGCAGTCTTCTTAGGTTTCATCTCTGAAAACAAAAAAAGTTCCCTTGCTCTTCGCCACACTCTCCTCCTCCTCCTCCTCCACCACCACCTCCTCCACTTCCACCATCTCCTCCACTCCCTCCTCCACCTCCACTTCCTCATCCATCTCTACCTCCTCCACTTCCTCCTCCACCTCCTCTTCCTTCTCCCCCCTCCACTTCATCCTCCACCTCCGACTTCCCCTCCCCCTCAACCTCCTCCAAATCCTCCATTTCCACCTCCTCCTACCCCTCCTCCTCAATTTCCTCCTCCTCCTCCTACCCCTCCTCCTCAATTTCCTCCTCCTCCACCTCCTCCTCCTACCCCTCCTCCTCAATTTCCTCCTCCTCCACCTCCTCCTCCTACCCCTCCTCCTTAATTTCCTCCTCCTCAATTTTATCCCACTCCTCCTCCCCCTCCTCCTCAATTCCATCCTCCACCTCCTCCTCCTCCTACCCCTCCTCCTCAATTTCCTCCTCCTCCTCCTCCTACCCCTCCTCCTCAATTTCCTCCTCCTCCACCTCCTCCTCCTCCTCCTCAATTTCCTCCTCCTACCCCTCCTCCTCAATTTCCTCCTCCTCCTACCCCTCCTCCTCAATTTCCTCCACCTCCTCCTCCTACCCCTCCTCCTCAATTTCCTCCTCCTCAATTTTATCCCCCTCCTCCTCCTCCTCCTCAATTCCATCCTCCACCTCCTCCTCCTCCTACCTCTCCTCCTCAATTTCCTCCTCAATTCCATCCTCCACCTCCTCCTACCCCTCCTCCTCAATTTCCTCCTCCTCCTCCACCTCCTCCTACCCCTCCTCCTCAATTTCCTCCTCCTCCACCTCCTCCTCCTACCCCTCCTCCTCAATTTCCTCCCCTCCTTCTCCCCTCCTTCTCCTCCTCAATTCCATTCTCCACCTCCTCCTCCTCCTACCCCCTCCTACCCACCCTCTTAAATTTCCTCCTCCTCAATTTCCTCCTCGTCCACCTCCTCCTCAATTCCATCCTCCTCCTCCACCTCCCCCACCTCCTCCACCTCCCCCACCTCCTCCACCCCCTCCTCCTCCACCCCCTCCTCTTCCACCTCCTCCACCTCCCCTCCACCTCCCCCTCCTCTTCCACCTCCTCCACCTCCCCCTCCTCTTCCACTTCCTCCACCTACTCCTCCTCCACCTATTCCACCCCCTCCTCCTCCTCCTCCTCCACCTATTCCACCCCCTCCTCCTCCTCCTCCACCTATTCCACCCCCTTCTCCTCCTCCACCTATTCCACCCCCTTCTCCTCCTCCACCTAATCCACCTCCTCCTCCTCCACCTATTCCACCCCCTCCTCCTCCCATTCCTTTGCCTCTTCCTCCTCCACCTCCTCCTCCTCCTATTCCACCTCCTCCTCCTCCTATTCCACCACCTCCACCACCTATTCCACCACCTCCACCACCTATTCCACCTCCTCCTCCTCCCATTCCACCTCCTCCTCCTCCCATTCCACCTCCTCCTCCTCCTATTCCACCTCCTCCTCCACCTCCTGAAAATATGTGAATGCAGCGATTGACCAATCAGAGTGAAAAATTACAGAAATAAATGCTTATATTAGAGCTGTCGTACCTTCACATGTGTGTCTGCAAAGTGTGTTGATGTCCAGATGTGTGGTCTGGTTGCTGATGGGATTGTTCAGCACACAGCTGTAGGTGTTTTTATCCTGATTTTCCACCTCCAGAGGTAGAGAGAGACTGATGCTGAGATCAGACACACTGATGCTGGACAATACACTCATTCCTGCGTACCAGGAGAGAGTTGCGTCACTCACACTCAACACTGATGAACACACCAGTGAACATGATGATGAACAGTGTGAAGAGTTACTGCTGATGACAGGAACAGGCAGAGGAGCTGGAAAACAGAAAATAAAGAAAAATGAGGAGGAATGAAGATATTTAAGTAGACGAGGAAAAAACATAGAGAGAAACCAAGATTTCTGTTAGGACCACTATCGTCAAATACGATTGACAATTAGCATTCAGTTTGGATTGGCGAATTGGCTGGGCAAGAACTCTCTGCGCATCCATCCAGAGCAGCAATAACCACCCAAAACAAAACCACATGCCAATATCCCCCAAACACAAACTGACCGTGAATATCTTGATGCCTTTTTTTTTATATAAATACGGTTAACTGAGTGAGCTACAGCAGAAAGCATGTTGACAATACCGGAAAAAAGCCTTAAGCTACAAGCATGTTGCCCTTACCCTGATAGCTTTTAGCAATGAGCATTAAAAGAAACTTAGCTTAGCTTTGTGAAGAATCAGTAATTCTCACTAATTAGTCATGGTAAGATACTTCTTCAGATATAGCTGTAAAAAATATATCACGTGAAACTGATATTCAACTTATATCAGATTATGGCCAGCTGAAAACGTTAATGTTCAGTTTGTGATGGTCAGAGATCCAGTTTGATTGTCCAGCTTCAGTCTGTCTCTGAATCTCCCATCAAGAACATCATCATATACAGTGAATCTGTCGGCCGTTACATTGATTTCTGCTATTAAAGTGTCTTCCAAACCTCCACTGAATCACATCATCATCCTTTATTTCACTGAGACGAGTGTTTAGAGTGACTGAATCTCCCTCAAACACTGACACTGACTCATTAATTCAAACTGAACAAACAGGAAAAGAGTTCAACACGGATTAAAACAGTAATTTGCAAAAGTAAATGGTTTGAAATGTACATTTGAAATGAATATCATCATTAAACAACAGAAGCAACATGGAGTCTTTGTGCTGATTAAAATATAAAACAGCTGAAACTCATATTTAACTCACCTAAGACAAATAGCTTGAAATTCCTTCTTATTCTGTTGATCTGTAGTTCATATTCTCCAGCATGTTCAGTTGTGGTGTTTGTGATGGTCAGAGATCCAGTTTGTTTGTCCAGCTTCAGTCTGTCTCTGAATCTCCCATCAAGATCATCATCATATACAGCGAATCTGTCGGTCCGTTTATTGATTTCTGCTATTAAAGTCTTTTCAAAACTCCACTGAATCACATCATCATCCTTTACTTCAGTGTCAGAGTTTAGAGAGACTGAATCTCCTTCTGACACTGCCACTGCCCTTTCTCCATCACCAAACACAACTGAAGAACAAACACACACGGATGTAAAAGATGTTAAACACTACTCTCTTGTGTCTTTTGCTAGTTCAGTGTGCAGTGAGTGTACAGGACTTTGCAACATATGCACAAATACACTGTATATATAATTATTAACAGCTTTCACAAAGCATAGTCTGCTGTGCTATTACATATCTCCTTAAAGGAGAACTCCGGCGCAAAATGAACCTTTGGTCTAATAAAACATTGGTACCTTGTCAACCGTTCTCTGAGATTAGTTTTCTAAAAACTGTTTACCGTATAACGCTAGTACTGGGGGCATTTACTAAGTAGAGACCGACCGATAAAGGATTTCGAAGGCCGATACCGATACAAATATTTTTTGGTTTTAAAATCCGATATATCGGCCGATATTTTAAAAAAAATAACTATTTCAGAAACGCGCAACAAAAAAGTAACAGATTTCCCTAAAATTAGTTATTTGTAGTTATTTATGAATAATATTATATATTAAAATAATATGATAATGCATTTTAAAAAGAAACTTGTTTCTTTTATGGTCACAACAGAACAGACTGATGATAGTGGCGTTAGCTAGCTTTGTGGTTAGCTAGTCTATGATGAGCCATAATTTAGGTAAGGGTTAATGCCCGACGAGGTGTCCATTGTCAGGTTTTAATGGACGACGGCGAGTTAAATGTTAAAAGAAATAACGAAGTCGCCGCTCATTGTTGTATTAGTAGGCTATGTAATATCTAACTAACGTTAGATGTTTGTTTTGATAGAGCAAATTGTTAACGGATACTTTGATGTTTGACTGCCTGTTGCTATGGTTACTCACAGCTGTTGTAGGCAGCGCATTTATTTATTCATTTCGAATGGTAAACAGGCAGTTTCACCAGAACTACTTTACTAGGTGTCCTTTATCACTTTTTAACGGACACCCTGCAGCCAATCAGAATCGAGTATTCACCCAGACCATGGCATAAAAATGGATTACGTCATACTGCAAATTGTAAAACTTACATTTTCAATATATAACAGGCCGAGGAGAGATGATACGTCTCATTGCTATAACAGTCACGCGATATTGAAGAAATACTGCAGTCACATTGTCAAAAGTTAAAAGGACAGTCTGTCAACTACACCATAACAACGTAACGTAACTATTACTAGCTAATTCAGCTTCACTCTCGGCTTATTTAACAGCAGCAAAACTGGACATGATAGTCACAAATTTTGTCATGCTTATTTGAGTTAAGAGAACTGATGGGGATGTTCTTTTAATTGTTATTCAAGCAATGTATGTCTCGTGACCAACTCAACGAGTGTTGCCAACAGGGACGGTGTAGAGCGCCCTCTGGTGGACAAACTATACAACTCCAACACTCGTGACATGGTCGTCCGTTTTTATTTTATTTTTGAAATATTCATTTATCGGCCATTATAACTGCCGATACCGATAGTTTGGAAAATGCCTAATATCGGCCGATATATCGGTCTGGCTCTAATACTAAATAAAAAGAAATCGCTAGTTTATACCACTAGCAAGTCTCAAAATAGCCCCACACTAACGCAGTAACATAATGAGGCTCCATACATGCAGAATGCAGCATTGAGAACTTTGTAAGTGTACAGACCGTTTAATAAGAAGATACTTTATGAAGACAGTTCACTTCGTGTATATGGGCAGCGCCATCTTTGGAAATCTCTCGATAAGTCGATCCCCGAACGCCATTCATACCGTTCAGATCACTCAGCACGACGTTCGTGGTTCGACTAGTCAATACTGTTTTCCAAAGATGGCGCCCCCTGTATGCACGAAGTGAACTGTTTTCAAAAAATATCTTCTTATTAAACGGTCTGTACACTTACAAAGTTCTCAATGCTTCGTTTTGCATGTATGGACCCTCATTATGTTACTGCGTTAGTGTGGGGCTATTTTGAGCCTTGTTAGTGGTTTTAACTAGCGATTTCTTTTTACCTAGTAATACTAGCATTATACGCTAAAAACGCATAATAACTGAGTTTAGAGCTGAATTCAAACATGATCTGACAGTAAAATCACAGTGAATGATAATCTTCTCTAACTAATTAAACCAGTAATTTATCACATCAGAACAGAAACAACTGAAGTCATGAAAACACATTTAAACTCACCATCCAGACGCCACAAACACAAGCAGAGCAAAACTAATTTGAGAAACATCTTCTTCATCGGTTCACTGAAAAGCCCACGATAGTAACACTCAGATTGACCTGAAAGACTGAACTGATATTTATCAGGTTGTGTGTGAATCCTCCCCCAACATCAGTTAGTTTCCGCTCACACACTCGTCTCCTTTAACATCACGATTCACGAACATAAACAAGCTTTTCTGATCTTCCATTTTCAAATGAATTCTGGCCCTGAATAAACTAAAAACAAGAACAGGCAAAGTCCAGGCGATCAACAAACAGCCTGTCTGAAGGCAAAACACACAAGCCGTGAACAAAGTTTAAGTCCAAATCAGTGTAAATCAAGCAGGAATAAACAGGCTTGATATTTCCAAAGGTCTGAAAACGCTTAAATCATCTTTGCATGTGATGTGTGAAACATAATAAAAGCTCACTGAGACTATCTGGTACTTCCAGGTCACACTTAAAATCATCAACCTCTATGTAAAGCACTTTGAGTGGCGAGAAAAGCGCAATATAAATGTAATGAATTATTATTATTATTATTATCAATCCACGTAACAATACGCAGATGATGTCTTGACAAATGTTTTCTGCAAGATACACAAACCGCTCGTTTCGTGTCTTAGGCCATCAATGTGTTCTTACATTCACGAGTCATTAAATGATGTTTAATTTGGACTTCTCTGTGCATGCTCTTTGAGGTGGTGACCATAGACCTCCATTATATGACTGACAGACAAGAACGGTTTGACCTAAAAATATCAAAATTGAAACTACTGTGGAAACAAAGACACCTACATCTCGGATGTCCTTGAGGTAAGATAAAACATATCAAACATTAATTTCAAAGTGAACTATCCCTTTAAAGTCTTACAAATTTTTTTATTACAGTGGTCACTATAGTAAATATCCACCATAACTGCATCTATCATTAATGTAAATGTAATATACGCGTTTCATAGAAGCATTTTCTTGCTAATGAAGTTGCCTTTCATTTAGTTGCAATAAAAGAGACCCCAATAATCCCAAAAATAAAATATATACAATTAAAACGCGTACGGTTTTGCCTATTTGTTCTGTTGTGAAAATTTTAATCTTACATTAATCACTAGTGAAGATTACTAGGTGGTCTGAGCCATGTGTTTCCATTGAACCTATTCAATGAGTAAAATGTGTACGTGTTTGTACGTTTCAGGAACATATGGGACAGGGCCTCTGACCGTATAGGGACAGTCAGTTTTGGCCAGTTTATTTCAGTGTCCTTAAGTATAGGCTAAACATCAGTAAGGGCCTTATCTGGGTGGGTGAAAGGTACAGCGGGTGAAGAGGAACCTTGAAAAGACTATAAGAGCTGTCACATATCTTCCTGGGTGTCTCACGACTCACAGTGTCTATTCTTGCAAGAATAAATACTTATTTGTTTTAATTAACTTGACTCTGAGTGTCTCTTACGCAGTGATGATGTTCGACAGGAGCGGAGAATAAATATATTTTCACAAAACAAAGTTGAATCTCTTCTCTTGGTTTGCACCAATATTACTTCATCATAGCGATTTTTCTATGTTACTACACTAGATTGCCCCTGTCTCTGGAAATTTTATATATAATTAACTGATTTTTACACTGTTGTGCAGTAGTTTTGTCGCTAATTTTGTTTTTAAAAAAGTTACATTAAGTATTGGAATACGCTTTCAAAATCGTGTGCTTTTGTTTCATTTATTTGAATATAATTGATATATCTTTGATATAAATGTTAGAAACACTTAAGTGTAATTATCTTTAATTAAAATACTGCCAAACTACCCCTGCTGTAGGCCATTGCTTAGAAAAAAGTTTCTCTTTCAAAATGTATTTATGCATCATCAGCAAATTTGTGTCATTGATCACGTGAACTGGTTTTTGGATGGTAACCACACAAAGGAGTGGTTTGTTTTTAAATTTGAGTATTATAACCAAAGAATATAATATAAGAAGCAAGAATTTATATATAAATATAAATAAATAAAATTATATTTATAATTTTTTATATTTTTATATTTATTTATATAAATATAAAAAAAATAAAAAAATAAAAAAATATATAAATAAAGCTGTAGATGTTACACTGCTCAAATATTTAAAATATACATCAAGTTTGTATTCCTCTGAATAAATCACAGAGAGACTCTTGAACCTCAGAGTGAGAAACTTTATTGATAAAGGCAAGAAAATACAGAATATATATAGCAGTTTAAAGTAAGATCTGTGTCTCTATTATTATTTTTGTATCTGTGAGAAATATCAACAATAAATTGTCACTGTTAAAATCTGACACTGACAGAAAGCACAAACTCAAATAATCATCACTATTTATTATGAAGTGAAAAAACACTAAAAGAACAAAAAACACTTTTAAAGTTCAGCGTTCTGCTTTAGATTTCAATACTTCCTGAAAAAGATGAACATATAAAGCCATTAATATATGTGACATATATTTATAATAGCTTAAAATCAGTTTGTGAGATCTGACATCATCAATCATGCACCTGATGTGTGAATATGTGCTTGATCTCCTTCAGCTCTTCTGGATCTGATGTCATAAACCAGAATGATGACAGTAGCCACGCCCACCAGAGCAGAGAGGACCAATCGGATCACAGTTTCAGTAGGACCGCAACATTGGGCAGAGTCTGAGGAATAAACACATTTAAACACATTTAAGCATTTAAACAACTTGATATAGAAGGTTAAACATAAACCTAGATGACATTGATGTAAAAAAAAAAGCTATTTAGTAATTTTAACTAATTAGTCATCTATGGTTAACATATATGGTTACTCACGTAACCCCAGCTCCCTGAGGGAACGAGATATTGCGTTTGCTAACGCTTATGGAGAAACCCCTACCTCCAATCACGCCAGTAACACTGGCCAATGGCGTTCAAGAGCGCAAAATATGGGCTTCCACCACTATATAAGGCGGCACTTGAACTTCATTCATTCAAAATTCTGACTTCAGCAACTTGATATTGTAAGATCTGAGCTTTATAGACCCTTTTACAGTTGGTAAACATGGTGACGTTTTTTTTGTGGGCGGAGCTTAGGTGGAGGCAGAACGATCCCTCTGGCCGCTTCACTAACGCTAGTTAGCAAGGATTGTTAGCTTGTTTTTTAACAATGACTGGAGAAAATCCGATATTATCTTAATGTGTAAGGTCACTCAGTGTTCAGGACCGCGATTGTTATTTCCAAAAGTTATTTTTAACAGACGGAACCAGATTGGCCGACCCGTAGCCACCTACACGCTCACTCAATGCATGGACGATCTGACAGGATTAACGTACGTTACCTCGGTTGAGTGGCCTGACTTCTACACCTACCTTATAGAGAAACCGATCGTAAAGAGAAACTGAGGGCGTATAAATCTTTAGATGCCTATATGGTCCTGTACAAGACTTGTGTGTACGATCCGCAGTTCTGCCGAGTCAGCGCCGAGACCACGACAATGTAAAGAGTGACATTACAGTGCGATTTTAATGATGTGAATATTTTCTAGAAATAAAAGTTCCAGATACAGCATATTCATTTTTCATCAATTCTTGCACCAAACAACACAACTAGATGACATTTAATAATAGTAACAATTATTTAAGCTCATTATGTAGCCGAATCTGTGCTGTTTTGTATTGGCCGCCTCCAGTTTTCACTTTGTTTTGCCTCCAGCTAGCGCCGTGACGTCGGCGCAAAAGGGGTCTATAGCTTGTGACACATAAATGCGCACATCATCCCGATCTCTTGTTTAGCATTCAAGTAAACTCATCAATCGGAATGAATTCAGTCCGACTGAAACAAAAGTTGTGCGTGTAAACATAGCCAATGTTGCCGAGGCCCAGACACACATCTCAAGCCCAGCAGATTGGCTCTGCGCAAAATTAACGGAACAACTTGAAAATAACGTTAAATAAAAACATCTGTGAACATTTCGAATTTGCTTTTTGAATGTTGTAAGAATATCATAAAGAAAGGTTTTAATCATTGGGAAACGATGTTTTTTAAGCATTCCCCCAGTGCTTTTGAATGCACATTTTGAATGCTATTTTAGAGTCACTGCTAATAGTGTAACTTCAAATCAGGGCAATAATGTTAACGTCTTGAGACTGCCCTGCTTCACAGCATAGTAGTGATATGCTAAAGCTGCCAGTGTAACGGAGGCCAGCTAGTAGTTGCTGTGCATGTAACCCTTGTTAGAGCACCCGACTCTCACGCCGGAGACCCGGGTTCGAGGCCCGCTCTGAGCGAGTTGAGTAGGACCCGGGTGGAGGGGTTACATTGGTGCCGTGACCCGGATGAGAGTAAGGTTTAGGGGGGTGAGTATAGTAGTTGCTGTGCAAGTAAACCTCACTCCTCTGATCTCAATAGGCACTCTAGAGGCTGCAGTCTTTAGCCTCCTTGTTAGAGCGCCCTACTCTCACGCCGGAGACCAGGGTTCGAGGCCCACTCTGAGCGGTTCGAGTAGGACTCGGGTGCAGAGGTTACACCCGCACGTTCAAAATTTGAGTATTCTGAACTTATCTGGGTTTTACAGTGTAAGGCTTCAGTTGTATTTGGAGGAAGGGATTTTTTCATACGCGTTAGCAAACTCAAAGCCGGAGTGAACTGAATTGAAAGGGAACAGATATTTATTAACTCACCGTAGACAGTGAGGGTGAAAATCATCTTCATATAGTTGATGTCAAGTTCATAAACTCCAGAGTCTGTGGTTGTGGCATTTGTGATGGTCAGAGATCCAGTTTGATTGTCCAGCTTCAGTCTGTCTCTGAATCTCCCATCAAGAACATCATCATATACAGTGATTCTGTCGGCCCGTTTATTGATTTCAGCTATTAAAGTGTCTTCATCTTCAAAACTCCACTGAATACGATCATCCTCCTTCATTTCAGTGAGATCATTGTGTAGAGAGACAACATCTCCCTTCTCTACTGATATTCCCTTCACTACTGTTTCACAGAACAAACAAAAACAGTCATTTGATGGTTTACTCAAATTGTTTGAAGTTTAAATTGGAAATGAATATCATAAAAAAACAACAGAAGCAATTGGATTAATAATTGTATGTGCCGATAAAAACATAAAACAGGTGAAATAAATGTTTAACTCACCAGAGACAGTGAGATCAAAACTCTTTCTCTCACTGTTGGTCAGTAGTTTATAATATCCAGCATGTTTCATTGTGGTGTGTGTGATGGTCAGAGATCCAGTTTGTTTGTCCAGCTTCAGTCTGTCTCTGAATCTCCCATCAAGAACATCATCATATACAGTGATTCTGTCGGCCCGTTTATCAATTTCAGCTATTAAAGTGATGCTATATCCAAATTTCCACTGAATCACATCATCATCCTTTATTTCAGTGTCAGAGTTTAGAGAGACTGAATCTCCCTCCATCACTGACACGGGCCAAACACCATCACCAAACACACCTGAAGAACAGAGTTATTCACGGATTAAACCTTTAAAATCACTAGATGTTGGTTTGATGAAGCTTCACTAAAATACTTTTAATCATTTAACTGTGAAATTAATAATATTCTGCAGCGGCACATGTAGCTTAGTGGCTCCTGGTGGTGAATCTAGGTAGGGCAGATTCTGATTCCTTGCGCTAGTTTATAATGAACATTTTGTAAGCTTAATATCCTAATCGCTGAACACATCAGACATCGCCTGGTTGACACCAGACCCTTCTCAGTCGTAACTGAGAGTGGGTCTGGGGAAGGTTCATTTACAGCCCATTTCCAACGGACGTCTTAGATTGACACAGACTCAGCTCCGTCCTACATTCTCTCGCTCCAACACAGTGTTTGCCAGATGTGCGATAATTATCGTATTTGTACGATAATTTTGACCTCTGTACGATCAATAATGAAAAAAATCCCATAATGTACGATAATTTCAGATTTTTGAAATTAAAATCTCATCTCTTCATGAGCACTTAACCAAAAAGAATCGTTCCTTTTCCTTTAATCCTCGCTTGTCTGGCTTATGCTACACATTATGAACACTTCTTGCGTCGTTTTTGCCTCTTCAGTTGTAAGTCGCTTCGGATAAAAGCATCTGCTAAATGACTAAATGTAAATGTAGAACAATAAGTAAATAAAAAGAGAGAGACTTAAACTATTGGGTATTAGAGCTTCACATTTATTTGATTTCATTAAAATCAATCCCTAATGTAAGTATAAGTTTAAGAGTATAAACCTGGATTTAAATGTAAACAGATTAATTACTTAATTAAATATTTTAACCACGTTACCAGAACAGAAACAACTGAAGTCATAAAAACTTTTTAAACTCACCATCCAGACGCCAGAAACACAAGCAGAGCAAAACAGGAAGAAACATCTTCATCGGTTTCAGTCCACAAATATGAAAACACAAACTCTTCAAAATTGTGAATGACAATAAAATGACAGCCGCGGTGATGTGAAGCTGCTCTGTAGACTAAAGTGGAGTGAAACTCCGTCAGCTAAACTAACTGTACATCAAGTGTTAATGGGTGTGACTGTCTAACTCTAGCTGATTATTTCACACTCTTGAGCTCCAGTACGCCTCAACTTCCTGTTAGTCAATGGTGTGACGTTCAACAGAAATAGACTGACCAATGACATGTTAAAAACATCTTAAAGCAACAGTTCGATCTTGTCCTGAGATCCTGAGAGTGTTTGTCTCTGCTCTCTCCAGGACGTTTGTTCTTCATTTCTGATCAAATGTCTCGATTACTGTTCGTAACGGTACATATCGACACAAGAGAGTGTGTCGTCAGCCAGCGAGCAAAAATCAACATGAAGTCACATCAGCACTCGTAGGTTATTGAGAGAGTGGAGAATATCTCTGATGATATTATTATACTTGCTCCAAAAACCAACAGACACATGATCAGAGGTCATATAGCGGAGGTCAACATAATACAGTGCGAATAAGCTAGAGTTTATGGGAATGCTGAAATTAACCGACCACAGAAAGGGCTCATGCTGTGGTTGAGGCCAGAGAACCAGAGAAAAACCAACGCTAATTCACGACCAATACGCTGATTTCACGCAGCCGCCATTTTGAAATCGATGGGAAGAATCCCGGAAGTATATTAGCAGTGACTAATGGACCGCCAGTCTCTCCTTAGTGGCCCATTCACGACCCACCCCAATAGGGTCTTGACAGCGTAGGGTCCCCCGCCTTGGCTGTTAATGATTTCCCATGGTTTCTTAAGATTTGATGCATTGAGACCAAACACCATGGAACACCAAAATTACTCCATCCATGTGCCTACTTCTCCCGGAAACTCAACCCAGCGGAGAGGAACTACGATATTGGCAATCGTGAGCTCCTGGCCATCAAACTAGCCCTAGAGGAGTGGCGACATTGGTTGGAGGGTGCCACTCATCCGTTTCAAGTCATAACTGATCATAAGAATCTCCAGTACCTCCGTGATGCTAAACGTCTCTGTCCTCGTCAAGCCAGATGGTCATTATTCTTCTCAAGGTTTCACTTCTCCATCACCTATCGTCCTGTTTCTAAGAATATTCGAGCCGATGCCTTATCTAGATTATATGATTCCACAGAAACTCCTGAGACAACCACATCTATTATACCCGAAGATACCATCGTCAGTCCCATCGAATGGTCTGCTCCTCCAGCCGTCGCCACTCCTAACCCACTAACTCCACCGGGCTGCCCACCAAACCGTCAGTTCATCCCTAGGGCACAACGGGTAGATCTCATTCACACCGTTCACACCTCCTTGGGCACTGGGCATCCTGGGGCCAACAACACCATCTCGCTGCTATCCGAACGCTTCTGGTGGCCGGGATTGGCAGGGGATGTGAAGAGGTATGTACGAGGTTGTAAGGAGTGTGCCATGTCCAAGAGCCCCCGACATCTACCTGCAGGGAAGCTCCATCCCTTACCAATCCCTAACCGCCCCTGGTCACATCTAGGAGTAGATTTCATGACCGATTTACCGTCATCAGATGAAAATACCTGTATCTTCGTCATAGTAGATCATTTCTCTAAGTTCTGCAGACTAATGCTACGTTCACACCAGACGCGAATCGCGCGTCAAATTCGCGCCTGACACGTCTAGTTTGACGCTTGACCACTTTGTGTTATTTCGCGTGTCAAGAGCGAAACTGGCGCGTGTGATGCGCGGGTTGATCCGAAATGAGCGGGTCCCTGCGGTCACCCGCGGTCACCCGCGGTTACGGGTCATCCAAAAATGTTTTTAATGATATTCGGGTCGCAGTCGGTCGGGTCGTTTGAAAAAAGATACATTTGTATTAATATAGTACTAGACACAATTTTTGATGAAATATACAGCTCTACACATTATTGGCTGAATAACTGGCACGAAGATAACACACAAGCTCAGTCTAAACAGTTCTCGGTTCTATACTGGTGATTCGAGAACCGCTGTCCCTGTGCGTTCGGTATACGCACGCAGTATCAGCTGCTCGTGCTCATCACTTCTCTGAACAGTGGCACCAACATGTCTCGGTTCAGTGAACTGTTGGAGTTACTGGAGTAAAATATAATTGAGGATATTGATTTATTTCGATTCGGAGGTGACTGTCAGGCATGTCTGAAAGTGAGTAACTTTAGTAACTTGTGGATCAGCAGCACTGACGCAAGACGCGAACTGGTTCGAACGATTCAGTTCGAGTGTACTGGTTCGACCGGTTCACTAAAAAGAACCGGTTCAAAAGAACGATTCGTTCACGAACCGGCCATGTCTACGATCACTACAGTCTGCAGAGAGATGGAGGCGGCAAGAGAAAAGGTGAAGACTGGGGAGTGGAAGCTCCGCAAATACACAAATAGAAAGAGTAAAAGTGTGGGAGGCATTTGCTGAAATAATGAAAGATGATGACCAAAGTGCTGGCTTTGCCTTTTTTATGTGTTGGCTACGTCTTCTTGCGATGCTGTGTTGTTATACGTCTATGGCCCAATAACGCTCCGATGAGCATTTACTACTTTAAAAAAATGCGGTCAGGAAGCGGGTCGGGTACAATATTTTTTTTACTTTTTTTGCGGTCCGAGTTGCGGGCGGGTAGTTGAAAACGTCGGTCGGTTGCGGGTTGTTTATACATTGACCCGCGAATCACTGGCGGCCATTGTTTTTATGTCGACCGAGCATTCATCGAGAGAGTTACCGCTCTATATTTACTCTGGAGAGCAGAACAGCGGCGTGGGGATCATCGTCGCCGTATATTTGTGTCCACCGGACCCTTCGGAGCCGAACCGTTTGGCGAGTTTCACCATTCGCTCGCTCCATGAGCTGCGCTGGATGACGACCGCTGTCAGCGGTACTTCCGCCTGTCACGCGCCCAGTTTGATGACCTGTTGTCCCACATCGGAGCGAGGATCACCCTCGCCCGGCCCCTCATCCATCTAATCTATCTGTCATTTATTTTTGTTTTGATGATAAACAGAGCCAGCCTTCAAAAGTTATTAACCTGTTCTGTTATTTTTTTCTCTCTCTCACATCCAGAAACGAATTTATGCATGTTGATTGTCTTTACAACATAATAATCTAGATATGGAATGAATAACATTCAATACAAAATGAACGTGTCTCGTATATAGAAATAATGTTTTAAGTGATAAAACATTTGCTTTGTTGTGCATAATCCCACTAGTCATATTAACAAAATAATTTATTGAAGCATCCAGACACTTCAGCACGTGAGCAAGCAGCTAGGCTCCTGATTGGTTAACGCGGCGCGAATTCACGCCAAAGTTCAGATTTTTCAACTCGGGCGGCAGACGCGAATTCACGTCAAACGCGTGAATGCACAAATGGCACATTCGCGCGTATCGCGCTTAACGCGCCAGACGCTCAATTCGCGCGAACTTGACGCGCAAATGAGGCGTATTCGCGTCTTCCGCGCCGCAGGAATTTTTCATGCGCGTAAAGCGTCTTTGCATCGACTTAACATTGAAATCATTCGCGCCTGATGCCCTATTCGCGTCCGGTGTGAACGTAGCATAATACCTTTGAAAGGTCTTCCTACTGCCCTGGAGTCTGCTGAACTTCTCTTCAATCAGTCTTCCGCTATTATGGGATCCCAGAAGATATCGTATCGGACAGGGGACCCCAATTCATATCCAGGGTACGGAAGTCGTTTTTTAAACTCCTAGGTGTGACAGTCAGTCTCTCCTCTGGCTATCACCCTCAGTCCAATGGCCAGATGGAGAGGAAGATCCAGGAAGTGGGGCGGTTCCTCAGGACTTTCTGTAATGGCCACCAGAACTCCTGGAACCAGTTCTTGGGCTGGGCTGAGTATGCCCAAAATTCACTGTGGCAACCCACGACTGGCCTCACACCGTTCCAATGTGTCCTCGGATTCCAACCTCCTCTATTTCCCTGGGACAGTGAACCATCTGAGGTCCCCGCAGTGGATTACTGGTTCCGGGAGAGCGAGAGGGTTTGGGACGAAGCTCACCATCATCTGCAGAGGGCAGTTCGCAGATCCAAGATAGTCGCTGACCGGAGGAGGAGTTCGGGTCCAGTCTACGCTCCGGGAGATAAGGTTTGGCTCTCCACTCGTGATATGCGTCTGCCCTCCAAGAAACTTAGTCCTAGGTTTGTTGGTCCCTTCACCATCTTGGAACAGGTCAATCCCGTCACCTATAAACTCCAGCTACCACCGCAGTACAAAATTCACCCCACATTTCACATGTCTTTGCTTTTCACAAACCTCTGATTCCCTCCACAGAACGTGGTCATGAAGAGGAACCTCCTCCCCCTTGATGCTGGAAGAAGGTTCCATCTACTCTGTGCGAGAAATCCTTCAATCCCGACGTCGTGGTGGTCATCTGGAATATCTTGTCGATTGGGAAGGATACGGACCAGAGGAGAGGTCATGGATTCAAAGAGTCGACATCCTAGATCCCTCGCTCTTAGAAGAATTCCATTCCAGTCATCCTCAGTATCCTGGACCTCGTGGACGAGGTAGACCACCACGGCGTCGGAGACCTCGGCCCTCAGGAGCGGGCCCTGGGGAGGTGGGTAATGTCACGGATTGGCCAGGTTCTTCCACCACAATCACCCAGCGATCACAGTCACCAGAGTATTAACGAGAGACACCTGCACCTCATCAACATCACTGCTTCATAAGCCAACCCGATCTCACGACCAAGTCGTTCGAATTCGACGAATGATTAAAAAGTGGCTAATTCGTAACAATTCATACGAACTCACTCGTACGAATTAATACGATTTTGCTAAATCGTACATATTTTACGAATTGGCCAATTCGTATGAATTCGTACGAATGACCTACCCCTTACCCCGCCCCTAAACCTAACCATCACGTGGGTTTAGACAAATTTTAATCATGCCACTTTTTAATCATGCGTCGAATTCGTACGAATTGGTCGTGAGATAGTGTTGCATAAGCACACATCACGCACCTCTCATTGTCCGGGCTCGTTCATACGAAGCGGACTCATAGTGCTTCTCTCTGCGAGTTTCACTACCAAAACTAACCTGTGTTTACTTACCAGTACTCTGTGCCAATTCCAGTCTGTCCAGAGCTACGCTTCAGTGGTGTGCAAGCCGTAAGCCATCCAGTCCATTC